CAATTAACAGACATGAGGGCTAATACTATATTTGGTCTTTCTTCTAAAAGTGCCAAATTGTCTATATGATAAACTCTTAGATACTATATATCATTGATACATGTTGTTGTTGTTGTTTTTCAATTGCCCAAATTTGTATTTCGTCGTGCTTTAATTCAATGTTCAATGATATGTTATTGGCATTAATCTTTTCAGTATATAAAATCTAAAAAATGTCTGTACTTTGTATTTTTTATACATTCACTGTTATCAACAAAATGTCATCAACTGTTGCGTTACGCGTCAACTAGAATGGAAACATATACAAATGTTATCAAATATTCAAGGTGAACACAAATTGTCATCGTTTTCATCTTTAAATATATAGATACAAACGTAATAATACATTATTTTCTTTACATTAAACTATGTCTATAGGAGACTCCCTTAGCCGTCATAATGGTATGAAATTTAGTACAAAAGACCAGGATAACGACATTGAAGAAGGAAACAGTTGTGCTTTAAGTTATAAAGGCGGGTTTTGGTACGAAAGATGTCATAGTTCTAACTTGAACGGAAATCACCATCCTGGGAATCATACATCCTATGCTGATGGTGTGAATTGGAGAGCATGGAAAGGCTACCACTACTCACTGAAGGAGACGACAATGATGATACGACAATTGCAATAAATTCATTGTTTTGAAAATGAAATAATAGAAAGTCAAAACTATTTATTTGTTATATGTTAGCACATTATTCACACACCTATCAATAAATTCCCCAAAAAAAGAACTTTATTTTTTTTTAATCTCACTTTAGATTATTCATTTAATGTCTTTGTTGTTCCTGTTATGACATTTGTTCATCAAGAGCTTGCTATTATATTCGGACATTTTCTATCACTATTGTTAATGTTTTAAACCATATATAGCATTTAGAATTATGTGGCACATTGTTGGATGATTAGGGTTGGAAGTAATTTTGTATTTGAAAGCTTATCCATTTAGTTAAAAAAAACATTTTATTGTTAAATGGAAATTAAATCTATATTTTACTAAGGATAGCAAATATATTCGTTGTAATTTACTAAAGAGTCATTCATAATTATATTCCATAAACCATGTACATTTTTGTTGCTGTAATAAAATACTTAACCCTTTGGTAACAGGAACTGTTATCCATTGTTTTCTAGTTTGTGTAGTGTTCAAGAAATAAAATATTGAACTGTTGAACACCACAGGTACCCTATGAAAAATAAATATCAAACAAAATTGCGCTTTTGTAATGTGTACAAAATGTACATAAACCTCGACAATTCGGTTTAAATACAACTTAAAGAAATCATATGCCATTCATAATTGCTATTTTAATAAGGCTAGTCGAAATATCTTCAGCTTTTCACCCTTTTAAAAATGGATGAAATACAAGTTACTGGGTTTTAAATTCACACGATTTGACATCAGATATGCACAATAAACACGAGTGTTTCAATCATATTTGGAAAATACAAGTTAACATGACTTCAAAGACGGTAAAATAAGATAAAGCCTTTAAAAAAACAAATTTAAGTATATTGCGTCCCTTAGAAGAAAAATTTTAAGATCATATTACAGTCATAATTTGATAACTTTTCAGAATAGGTTTAAACTTCTGCGTGTACATCAAAATTTCCAAACCAAATCTTTATAAAAATAAGAAGATGTGGTATGATTGTCAATGAGACAGCTATCCACCAGAGTTCAAATGACGTGGAAGTAAGCAATTATAGGTCACCGTACGTCTTCCAACAATGAAAAAAAAAAACAATTGCGTATAGTCAGCTATAAAATGCTCCGACAGAAAAACAATTCAAACATGAAAACTGACGCCCTAATTTATACCAATTCAATTTCTAAAAAACAAATTTGAACAGGCTCAAAGGAATGTGGCAGTTTATATGTTTTATATGTATAACATAATGTAGTAAAGGTTTTATTTATTTGTGTAAACGGAATCACCGACTTATAATTAATTTACCAGTTTCACATAGAATACTTTCAATAAAATCTAAGTGTTACTACAGACACGGGCATAGTGAATGAGTTGGGAAATATACACATCGTATGATAGGATCATAGGAACAAACAAAACCAACAAAAGGAAACGAAAATTGTATTCCGTGTCATCAATTCTTCTATTTAATTCTCTCCAGTTAAACGACAATGTTTTGACAGTGGCGACAGGTTTGAACATCTTTGACTTTATATAAACTTATTATAATAGCTTACCTTTAAAATTGGAATCAAATTGCCTTGTAAGTTTTCCAACTTTTTTTAGAATGTTTCCTTTACCGTTGGAATTAGGATAGTTTATGACAATGGCTACGCATTTTACAACGAGTTGATTTTTATAAAAATCAATATCATTTATATGAATAGATAGCTGAGCGGGAAACAATCAATTATGATTAACTTTTGACCTTTTACAATTCTACAATAAGACTCCTGCCAGGGGCACCAACGGTTGTATTGAACACACAACCCGTGTTGACAGAGTTCCACGATCCTAGCACGAAAATGACACCAAGCATCACTCGTTATGAGTTAGCTTATGAGAGGGTGAAGTTGAGACCCTTCATAACTCTCCAGAATTTTATTTGGCAGTCAATAATCATACCCGTTTTGTGTCTAATGTCTCTGTTAGTTATTTTATGTTGGTTTCTATTTTATCCTTTCAATGTTAAATACTTCGATATAGCAGTTTGTGCTGCTGGTGCAAAACACAAATTTCAATCAATCTGATATTCTTAAAACATTATTGTCTTAAAAATATGGACGCAAGTCAATAATATTTTTGTCAATATACAAAGTTCATAGATATAGTGAGATATAAATGACACTCAAATGTTATGTGCAGCCAACCAAAAGAGCCTAAGTTGATTGCTGTGTATATCAGAGTGTCCTACTCACCATTACATACATAAAGTGACGTAACTCACAAAACATGGGGAGGTTGGCAACCAATTGCTGATATAAGGAATATTGCTCTTTATAACTGAATTTCTCGAAATGGAAACACGTATTCCAGGGAGTTCTTGTGTACTGAACAGTAAGCACAACATGCAAAACTTGGAACAGTTTTTGTCTCTCATGCCATGCAATACTTTTATAACCACACAAAGCAAAACGTCTACCCTAAACATGCACAACACGGTTGCATTTCTGAACTTTTAACTCTAAACACTGATCGAACGTCAAAATGAAAAGGACAGAAAGACTGTTACTCGTAGAAGCAGCACATACATTGAAACGAAATAGCACAAATTACGATATTGAAAACTTTAGTAAAAGCAACAAAAACCCCTCAAAAACAAAAGTATGGACAAATCTCGTGTGATCTGGAAGGGTAATCAATTTCTGCTTCAGTACAAATGTAGTCGCACATGTCGTGATGGATATCTGGTGATAAGTTGCATTCAGAATCGACTAAAAAATGAGTCTTTTCCCCAAATCAATATTTTTGTATAAGACATCTTTTAGCTAAAATATCTTTTTAGTAAGGTTAAGGCTGATGTCTAAATAAGACAAGACCTCAAAATGAGGATATTTTGTAATTAAATGCAAGAAGTTTTAAATTCTACATTAGTATGTTAACTATAATTCAAAATAGTGGAAACTGATATCTGACAGATTTATGTCTTGTAAACTTCTGCAGAAAGTTATTTAATCATAACTTGATAATATTTCTTCGAATTCAAGTGGCAAAAAATGAAGGCCTATCATTCCTTCACCTTTTCTTCTGCAATGGATTTCTAAAACCTTGAGTAAAATTTCCTGAATTGTTTTTTTCGTCATGATACTATGATGGATTTTCTTAATTTCAGCTTTTTCAGAATAGCTTATCTCGTCTGAATATACTTCTATGAAATAAGATTATAATTTCATTGTTTTTTAATGCAGTCTATAACTATCATTCAGGGATATCTTCAAGCATTAAGCATTATACTGTAACAGTTTTAACAGATTAAATGGTATTTTTAAAGAAAGTAAACTTGATTAAATAGATGCAGCGAAGATAGTTTTTAAAATGTTAAAATATTTGTTTTGATATCGTTATCATGTGTTTACTTTTAAATGTCTTTAGTTTTTTCTTGTTATAAGGACTGTCAACATCCACACTCAAAGGGACAATTCCTTAATAAAGCGAATATTTTTCTAGTACTTATGAAGTTTATTGGTTCCATTGTAATAAATCTTTTGCAGATAATTTGTCTTTTGTAGTTTAAAAAATGTAAAGAACTCACCACTGTTCCAGGCTATGGCAGGGCTGGCGCCTTCAAACTAGTTTAACTCCGCCACATTCTATATGTGCCTGTCACAAGTCAGGAGCCTGTAATTGAATGGTGGTTGTTGTTTGTTGCTGTTTATCATATTTGTTTTTCGTTTGTTGTTTTGTATAGTCTGCTCTTCTGTTGTGCTATTGCACAACTGTCCCAGGTTAGGAGGAGGGTTTGGCACCGTCTAACTAGTTTAACCATGCCACCTTCTATATGTGCCTGTCCCAAGTCAGGAGCCTGTAATTCAGTGGTTGTTGTTTGTTGCTGTATATCATATTTGTTTTTCGTTCATTATTTTGTACATAAATCAGGCCGTTAGTTTTCTCGTTTGAATTGTTTTACATTTGTCATTTCGGGGGCCTTTTATAGCTGACTATGCGGTATGGGTTTAACTCATTGTTGAAGGTCGTTGTTGACCTATAGTTGTTAATTTCTGTGTCATTTTGTGGAGAGTAGTCTCATTGGCAATAATATCATATCTTCGTATTTGTATATCAATGCAAAAAAAAAAAAGCCCTGACAAAAAAAGTTCTGAAGAAATTAAACAAAAAATAATAGAATTATATATTTAGAATTTTAAAGAAGACAAAATAAATGAGCAAAAACATAAAACCATGGTGATTATTTTATTTTACTTACAACAGGAAACTCTGTCTGAATCGAATATCCGTATGTCTCCGTTTTGAAGTCACATACACATTTGTTATGCGTTTTTCCTTTCTATAATACTAAATGAGGATACCTGTTTTTGTGTGTCAATTCAGCAGTTTTTTTATACAATTTTCATGAGGTCTTTTCCTATGTAGTCTAAGTACACCTCGTATCTTCGAAGTTCATTAGTTAAAATATGAAAATGATATCATTCTCTTTGAAAATTGGAATGTTCCTTGGAATCATAGTGGTGTTGGCGAATTCAATAAGTGTTCAAAGTAAAAGTGAGTATCCTCTACTGTTGTAAATTGAATTCTTTTGTATATTTATTTTATTTGTGTAACCGAATCACGTTCGTTCACACCTTAGTGCAAATTACTTTCATTTAAACCAGGCATGTCTTTAACCTAAACACTATTTAAACCAAGACAACTATATCGGGTCCAATTTGAAGATACCACGAGAGTGCGTGTATTATTCCGTGTTTAAAGAAGTTTACTACTTTATTTTAGTTGCATATTTTGTAAATTTTTTTTACCTTTACAACAAATCGCAGACCAACTATTATCATTGAGCAATAAGCGGTAAATATGCAACTATGCTAATTTCTATTTTACTTAATAAACATACAATTTTCATTGTAAAGGAATTTATGTGATTGAACGTTGCTAAAGAAAATGAAATAAAGTGGTGTTCAAATTTTGAAACATGACACACGAAGGAAAGATATTCCAATCAAATCATTGATAACTTATTAATTAGATTAGAGCAGTGATTAGGTTTGAAATATAAAAAAAAAATTAAAGTTATATAATAACACCCATTATTTAGCAGATAACTTTGGAATTCTGACAAGTCGAAAAAAAAATGATATCTCGACCAATTAAAGGCAACTCGGAACCATTCAAGGACGCAACTAACCTGTTTCAGAGACAACTCTGACTGCCGTCTATGAAGGACACATTTTAAAGAAGACTCCAAGACAACTCCTGAAGAAGATTATTTTGAAGATCATAACTGATTCAACGAGACAATGTAAACAGTTTATAGATTTTTATTTGCTGGAACAAGAACTTTTCCCCTTCCAAAGCATCTGATTTCATTCCTTGATTTTAGGTTTCATATGATTTTTGTTTGTACTTAGTAAATTTTTTATATTTTTTCTGATTATTGTTATGTTTCTGGCTAATTTGTTGGATATGGTGAGTTCTAATGGTGAGATCTTTTGCTTTGAAAAATACGATGTGTAGAGACAGTCAATAATGTTTATTTCTACGAATATAAATATATTTATCCTGCAATCAGGCATCTATTGTCCAAATAACAGGTACACAAATAAATTTTTGCTTTATTTGTACTTGTACTGAAACAAAATTTTGATCATTTTGAAATAAAGTGAAATTCATCACAAATGTCTCTTAAATTACAAAGTTTAGAATATCGATTTTCCATTGAAACATTATTCCACCTCCAAGGTTCAAAAGGATGTTAATAAAAAAAAGTTAAGTTTTTATCAGTCAGGAGCCTGTAGTTAAGTGGTTGTCGTCGGTTCATATCTGCCATATTTGTTTTTCTTAACTTTTATTTTGTTAGAAATTAGGCCGTTAGTTTTTCTCAAATGATTGTTCCACATTTTTTCATGTCTGGGTCTTTTATAGCCGACTAAACGGTATGGGCTTTTGTCATGTTGAAGGAAGTATATTGCTTACATCGACTTCATGTGAACTTTGGTGGAAAGTTGACCCATTGGCAATCATACCACATCTTCTTATTTCTATATATGACAATCCACAACTATCTAGAATAGATTTTATATCATTAAGCCATGGAATATTTATCCCATACTTTTTATATGCATGATTGTACAAAATAACAGAAAGTGTTTCTTGCTTTGTTGTCAGAAGTTTCGTACAGTAACTTAAAACCCGCAACTTCTAAGGGATATCTACCAAGTTCTCCATATATCATGAAATCTGGCGTTGATTTCTTTACATTCAACAAAATTTTACAGAATGCAGGTGATTCCTTTTGATAACTGAATTATTGGTGACTTCCCAAAACTTCACATCCGTACAGAAGAATAGGCTTGACGATTTTATCAAAAAGTTAGAGTTGACATTCTAAATCCTGATTGATTTTCATTTAGCAATAAATAGTGTTCCAACAAATGGAAAGTCTCGAATCCAGTACTGCAGTGAATAGGTTTTACATGAAGCTACGAATTGTGATAGGTTTATTATTTTCCATATGTTTGTATCACCTTTATTTGTATAGAAAGAATTGATATTATCGATTAACCTTGCTTCTGGAATTTAACACGAATCTGAAACAACATTTAAACAACTGAACATAAATAGGCATAATGATATGAAATGGACTTTTAATATATTCGTTAATAATTTTGTCCTCTCCACATGCTTTTCCATCATTTAGATCTTCAATACATGTACATAGTTCTTTTTTTGTTATAGTACCATTTAAGATTTCTTTGACTTGCGAAACACGGATATCGTCGACTGATTCTGGTGAATTAATGTTTTTAATTAAAGAGAACATCGATGGAAATATTTGGTGTACGTTTTTGCGGTTTTGCATTTAAATTTTCTAGAAGTCCTTGGTGTTACTGGTTTTCTTTAATTTTTCCTTTTTTTCTGAGTCTTTCTATACTCTTGTATCCAATAATTCATCTGCTTTTTATACTTTCGTTCTGCATCTTTCATCTGACCTTGTTTAGCTGTCGTATTGTTGTTTTTATATAGTCTGTTTGCGATTCGCAAGCACTTTCTATGCTCCAAGGATTTTTTTTGTCAAATCATGGCTTGATTTCTTTCGTATTCTTTTTTTCCTTCGTGTTGAAAATAAAGATGTCTAGAACCTGTTCAGCTGATGCCAAAATTACTTCGGTTATATGTTCGGACAACTTATTTACAGAATTTGCGACATAACACTTGACTTCAAAAGCATTAATTCATTTTCTAATTCTGCAATCATACTTCTACCAATATGACTGCAGAACTAGAAAGTAAACTTATCACCATATGCTGTATCATTTAAAATGGATAGACTGTTGTTTTACATACATGTATATAAAGTATTACCATAAGAGTTATTCATTTTATCTTCACTACATCTAAAACTTACCATATCTTACTTAAGTTTTGAGTAATCATTACCAAAATCCGAGTCACTATTCATGTCATATTTGCTGTTTGAAATATTAGAAAAAACACTAACAGTAGCAGTTCTATCATTAAAATTTCCTACAAGCAGAATATATAGTTATCACAACTCTTGTTCTAGTTCATTAAATGAGTCAGTTTTGTACAATGAATTTTCAGGGGGGGGAGGGGGGGGGGGGTGTTCATGTTTCTAATCACCAGGTCTTCAACAGTCTGTAGGAAATCGGCAGTAAGCTACTCTTATTTTGGATATTTCATTTTTATACACAGAATCTATGCCACCTGATTTAACTCTATAGAGTTTCACTTCCGTTTTTATAATTTAAAAGAAGTTCTTGGTACCGGTATGTTAACATTATCAAAATGATCAGTTGTTTGTTTCAGATAAACATATAATATCATGATCACTAATCAAATTGATAAATTCAGGATACTGCGAATTTCTGACTAAACCGTGGCAGTTAAAATTTAACATTTTAACATCTTAGAGTAGACCGTTAAAATCAGGTAGGTCTGGGTAACCTAAAAGAAGCTGAAATTTTTTAGGCCTATCATGTTTTCGTATTCGTGACCATTTTAATATCCCTTTTCATTAATTTACGCTATAGGTTTTTTACCCTGCTACGTCCACTCTGTGTTTTTGTAACTTGTTTTGCTTTATATCTATCTGATGAATAAAGCCCTTTTCAACTGATTTTGATAGTTTGTTCATATGTTGAACTGTTACACCACTGTCCCAGGTTAGGGGGAGGGTTGGGTGCCCGCTAACATGTTTAACCCCGCCATATTCTGTATGTACCTGTCCCAAGTCAGGAGCCTGTAATTCAGTGGGTGTCGTTTATTGCTGTATATCATATTTGTTTTTCGTTCATTATTTTGTACATAAATCAGGCCGTTAGTTTTCTCGTTTGAATAGTTTTACATTTGTCATTTCGGGGGCCTTTTATAGCTGACTATGCGGTTTGGGTTTTGCTCATTGTTGAAGGCCGTACGGTGACCTATAGTTGTTAATTTTGTGTCATTTGGTCTCTTATTGAGAGTTGTCTCATTGGCAATCATACCACGTCTTATTTTTATATTCTGTTACAAATTAAAACATGGTATGATTTATTCAAAATCAAGCAAATTATTCTTGTGAAATTAATTTCCTCAGATTTATAAATAAATAATCGAAAATTAACAACATATACTTCATTAATAATTTAGTTTAATAACAACACTTACCCTTTGCATTCGTCTCTTTCGGCTAACCCTTGAATCTCTGATGCAGAATAATAGTCAGACAGCTATGCCTATATATGCAATATGGGATTTTGAACAGCGAAAGCTGTGATAGGTTAAAACAGATTTTCCATATTTTGGGGGTAATTTTCGGTGTATCGTAATATCATAGTTTTAGCACTTCGTCTCGTGAGGTTATGGCCTTGGGTTTATTGTTTTTGGGGTAAATTAAATCGTTAAATTGTACTTATCTTTTATGAACTGTTTAACGTATTTGTTAATCTCGGCCCTTTTAAAACTTACCATAAAGATAATGAGACAGGGTGGCTGGTTGTTGAAAAAAGTGCGGACGTCATACTATTTTTTTTGTGTGACAAATTTGTTCCAGACATTGTTCCGCTGCATTTGTTTGCACCTGTCCTAAGTCAGGAATCTGACGTTCAGTAGTTGTCGTTTGTTGATGTGGTTCATAAGTGTTTCTCGTTTCTCGTTTTTTATATAGATTAGACCGTTGGTTTTCCCGTTTGAATGGTTTTACACTAATAATTTTTTGGGGCCCTTTATAGCTTACTGTTCGGTGTGAGCCAAGGCTCCGTGTTGAAGACCGTACTGTGACCTATAATGGTTTACTTTTATAAATTTTTACTTGGATGGAGAGTTGTCTCATTGGCACTCATACCACATCTTCTTATATCTAATAAGTGTATTAATGTTTTCGAAATGGCGAACATTTCAAACACAAAGTTCACAAATAATACCCACCAATTTAGCACAAAAATGAAAACAATGAAATACTAAAAACACAATTTAGATAATATTGTTGTTCAAGTCGTCTTTATATAAATATCAATGACGTATTATATATTTTAATGAAGTATGCTGTGTAGTGCTTCATGTAACATAATAAAATGTACATGTCGTATATGAGTCACATTTTTCTTCTTAAATATTGCGTTGCAGTGTACGAGGATTAATCACTTATTATTTCGGATAAAACAACATATAGTTATCAATCTCTTTCTTTCCATAGCATTGTACAAATACATTTTATATTCGAAGACATTGCATGGGTTTATTTCAAAGGTTGTAAATAAACTACATCTATAAACAAAAAAAAAGGTTTTTATACTCTAGACTTTTAGATTTTAACAGATTTTATGTTTTGCAAGTCTTTCCTTTTCGTTACACATGCATTGTCTTTTATACAAAATAATTATTGCTCCCGGAATCTTTAATGTACTATTCATGAACAGGAGACCACTTCATTAGAAGTCCTGTAGACTGTGGAGACATTGATATCAAACACGGAAGTGGTATATATAAGATCTTCCCCCAGGGTTCATTAGATGGTTTTTATGTATATTGCGATATGGACACAGAAGATTTAAAAGGAGGGTGGACGGTGAGTTGTGTTGTCAGTATCAAGTCTTCGTATGTATTGATATGTAGACAGTATTGTCAAAGAAAATGAATATGTAATTCATTGTGTAACATTAATGAATTGACTGTTTTTCCACAGCAGTCAATTAAATTTCTGACGAAATGAAAGGTATGAATTAATGGAATGAACTCCGATATGCGGAGAGAAACACTTAGAATCTAGTCACTGCTATATTTAATATGAAAAACCAGCTGGGATATTGTTTTGCTGTTTGGCTTGTACGTAAAATGTGCACAACTTGAATTATAAGTTAAAATTTCAAACTAAACAAATGAGGATGATAGCTGATTAGTTTGTCCATCAATGCTCTCACATTATCAATGTTAGAAACCTGATAATTGGGGCACAATCAACCGTGACTTTAACAGTTGTCTATAAATTTGACTTTTAATTCTCATAACAGAAAAAAAGGACATAAGGAATTTTGAGTTGTTCATTTTTTTGTGAGAAATCGTAAAATATTTATTTATTTCCATCGTTTCTAGGTGGTCAAAAAACAGAAAATTTAATTGCTATAATAATTTCGAAAAATGAATTAGATTTTATATCTTCAACTTTAAAATAAATACTATCCACATCACACTAACGCTGTGATACGCATCGTGGGTGATTGTTTTTCTACTTGGAATCTTTTTAGCTCATTGATTTCCTCTTCTGTGTATGTGGGTTTAAGGGGGGGCAGTTTTAATTCGTGGTGCCTTTGATTGATTGATTGTTGGTTGCCGAGACAAATCTGCCTTACGATAAAGGATAATTCTTTAGTGTTACATTTTTTTCTTTCTTTTAGGTTTTTCAACGTCGAATAAATGGTGAGGTTGATTTTTATAGAGAATGGGCTGATTATAAAGAAGGATTTGGGACAGTTAAAGGAGAATTTTGGCTTGGTAGGCTCATTTTTTAAGGAACACGCTACTTTGTTTATGTATACTAATTAATATAAAATTAAGTATTTGCATTTAAAATAACATAATTTTTTTTAACATCGATACTGTCTACTGATAGTGGCAATCTCCAAGATTATAGTATAGTTACAAATATCCCGCTATTCTCTGAACACTCTGCTGTCTTTATTCAACAAATAACAACCTCTAAGTAAACAGGGTCATTTTTATGTTTTTTGGTATTTTCTTGAAAACTATATATTTATTAAGATAGAGAGAAATCATAAATATCAAAAGTGATCTTCAAAACAAGATATACAAAATAGTAAGCATTGTCGAAATAATTAGATGACATGTTGGTCTTAAATGACGATTTTTTTATTGTTTGTTTATTTTATGATATATAACAAAAATTATCAGCAAAGTCAGAACTTTGTATAAGTCAAAAGGCCGAAGTCGTCAGTAGAATCCCGTATTAAAGTCCTTGTCATTGAATGATGATTTTTATCCGTTTTTGTATTTTTGGTGGAAACAGTTACCAGTAAAAGCAAAACAAGATTCGATAAACAGGTTCTGAAAACAAGTCAACATGGTCGAAAGTTTTAGTCGACTCATTATAGGCGTTATCGCTCTTAAGTAATTTTCTACCTATTTAAGTGTTTTGTGGAAGCTAAAGAAGAAAGAAAAAAACTGTAATCAGCAAAATTGAGCAGCAAAATAAAATCTACATATACAGTAGTTTTGACATGTTGCATACCGCATCAATTGTATGGTATTATGACATGGGAGCAATACAAATACCTAGTTTGCTGGGTTTGTTTTTTATGGCTCAATCTTTCATATTCTATGAAGTATTTTGTGGACTGTTGTTTGTCTTTTCGTCCTTTCCCTGGCCATGGTGTTGTCTGCCTTTCTTCCAGTAAATTTGTATAACTGCGAATAATATTCTTAAATTTAAATCTTAATACAAGTTTGTCTTAGCATTATGTGGACTCCATAGAATTAAATTATTTAAATTATAAACAATTCAGGCAAAAAATTAATTATTTGAATTGTAAACAATTCAGGCAACGACAAACTACATATCCTAACATCGCAAGGGAATTATGAACTGTTGATATCAATGAAAGACTTTGAAAATCATAATGGATATGCAAAATATAAGAACTTCAAAGTTGGGGATGAAGCTTCAAAATATAAGTTGACCTTCTCGAGCTTTACTGGAAATGTTGGTAAGTATTCATTATCGTTTTGATATAGGCGGATCCATAAGTTTCAAGAAGGGGAGACCAGAGGAATGTTGTTTATATCTTGCTATTTTCAAAATTATGATAATAATAGTAACAAATCCAGCTTGCTTTCACGCTACATGTTGTGAACAATTGACACATTTTGTAAGGATTGTACACGTAAACAATTATTATGTGAATAGATGAAAACCATATGACAGATGTAAAAAAAAATAGAACATGAATAGATAGCTCTTATAAAATGATTTTGAAAAATTGTCGGAAAAAATGGGGTCACCGTACTGGCTTTTTTTTAATTTTTGTTTGTTGCTATATTACAAAATAACTTTTACTGTGTGTTGCTTAAGAAAAATAATTAATTTGAGCTATCTCCCTTCATCAGACTTACTTTAAGCTTTTTTTTAATTCTTCAATAAAATATTCTGTATTTTTAACAGCCAAAGTAATAACTAAAACCCATACAATTTTCTTCATGTTTAATGAAAAGTCTGACAAATCAATTGCATTCTCGACAAACGCTTATTCATTTATATTCTAGTGCTTCGTGTATTTTACGATTCAAGATGGCAGAAGATTCCCATACTACCGTAAAACTTTATCTTAAGCACCACTGTGCTACGTATAAGACGCAGATAATTTCTTTTGATTAGTGAAACATACATTAAAAGTCAATTTTATTGAAATGTACATTTTAAAGATTTTTAACTGATTTTTAATACATTATCTAAAATCGCTCTTATTTATAATACATTGCGTTTATCTAAAAAAAAATGTTCTTTTTGAAAGGTGACTCTCTTGCCCATCATAATGGTAAGATGTTTAGTTCTAAAGATCAGGATAATGATAACCATGAATCCAACTGTGCCACTATGTTTAAAGGAGCCTGGTGGTACAACAAATGCCACAATTCTAACTTGAATGGACGATACCTTAAAGGAGCACACACTTCCCATGCTGACGGGATAGAATGGGAAACTTGGAAAGGTTCATATTACTCATTGAAGACAACCACAATGATGATGCGAAGGGTGAAATAAAACAAAACTAGGTGCTTGGTGTTGTTCGATTTGAACTGTGTACAGCATACTGAAAACTAATAAACTTGAAACTCTGAATATGGAGGTCTACTTTAAAAAGTCGCAATACTTGATTCCTGAAATACAATGTATCATAATTTTGTTTAAATATACACAATTAATAAAACGATTCCTTTAAAATAACTGTTGTCAGAATTTAAAATCTGAAACGAACACAAAAACACACACGACCAGTATCAATGACGTTTTCCTGAATGAGTCTTTTCCGATTGTAAACAAAAATAGTGTTTCATGAGATGGAAGTTAACTTTACGGTATGGACGCCTATAATAGTCACGAGTTGATCAGTTCTCAGCTCAACATGTTGACAAAATAAGTTGTAAAGTTGCATTATAACACACCTTGTGAACTTAATTTTGTGTACTTGCTTAGTTATTTTTAAACTTTCCGACTTTCCGAAAGTGCACTTGTTAACTTCTTCTGAACATGTTTACTTTGACAAGGTGAACAAAAAGAATAGACTCGCCTTGTGTACATGGTCTTTGTTCACTTGTAACATACAACTAGTCTGATAGTTCCATTGCAATAAAACTTGTATACTTCATTTTGTTTACAAGTGGAGTTATTTTCTTTACTTCCCGACTTTCTAGAAGTGCACTTGTTAACTTCTTCTGAACAAGTTTATATTAACAAAGTGAACAAAATGTATATTTTCATCTTGTGGTGTTGTTTTTGTTCACTTTCCTTGCTAATAATGTCTACTTGTCGAGTTGTTTCTAACCTTACTGAAAGTATATTTGTATTGTTTGTATCTAACTAAGTGTACTTTTCACAAATAAACTTGATTTCAAAATATTGCAAATTCACTTGTTGAACGTCAACTTGGTCTGAAATCTGTCGGCAGGGCTTGATATTTTAACCACGTGGTCTCAGTGTATATTTTGCGTACAACTCTATCCTGCCTGGAAGCATGGCAAAGAATTATATTTTAAAGGTAAATATTCAAATTTCTTTATTATCACACCTTAGTTAGGAAATGCATGAGTGTTATATCCATCATCTGTCACCTGCGCATTCAATTTTTAAATCAAAGCAATTGCTGAACGAATTGAGAGAGAAATCATACCCGATGTGCTCGTCAACGAAAAACATGGCCGCCATTGCTAAGACACATTTTGTCTATAGTCACCTACATTTATCGTTTACCTATTTATGAATACATTATCTCGTTAAATAAAACTTATTATGCAGCCGGTTAGCAAGTAAGGCGGTATATGGGTCATTTTCAAAATCCGTCCATATTCTTGTCCGGCTAACCTGTAAAAAAAATACGGTTGTATCATTATTTAGATTTTGGTGTCCTGCATATTGCAACGTAGATTTGTAAGTTCTACTACTTGCAGAAGAAAAATAAGGAATAGGTACACGTAACCCACAAAAAACCGGGGTGATCTCATGTGCTCCGGAAGGGTAAGCAGATCCTGCTCCACATGTGGTACCCGTCGTATTGCTCAACATACGTATCAATTCGGTTTATACAAGTCTCATATGGCGCTGTCATTTTCAAGAAAAGAGTAGTTATACTTTCATGTTTAACCCCGCCGCACTTTTGTGCCTGTCCCAAGTCAGGAGCCTCTGACCTTTGTTAGTCTAGTATGTTTTTTTAATTTTAGTTCATTTATATGTTTTAGAGTTTAGTGTGACGTCCATTTTCACTGAACTAGCACACAATTTTATTTAGGGGCCAGCTGAGGACCACCTCCGGGTACGAGATTTTCTCGCTGCATTGAAGACCCATTGGTGGCCTTCGGCTGTTGTCTGCTCTTTGGTCGGGTTGTTGTCTCTTTGACATATTTCCCCATTTCCATTCTCAATTTTATTATAAATATATTAACTGTAACGGTCAACTACTACTTTATTATGTTGTGGACATTTTTGTTGTGCTGTTGACAATATCGTTATGTAGGTGACAAAAAGCAAATGTCAAAATCGGTGGGTTTCGTGTTGCTCAGTTTTAATCTTTATATTTTGTGTTGTGTGTTGCTGTTTGTTTTTACGTCGTTTTTCATTTCGTGCCATGGCTTTGTCACTTTGTTCCCACATTTGAGTTTGATTGTCCCTTTTGTATCTTTCGCCTCTCTTTTACCAAGTGAGATCTCACAAAACATGTTTAACCTTACCGCATTTTTACGCCTGTCCTAAGTCAGGAACCTCTAGCCTTTGTTAGACTTGTATGTTTTTTTTTAATTTTGGTTCATCTCTATGTTTCGAAGTGTAGAGTGGCGTTCAATTTCCCGATCTAGTATACATTAGTGTTTCGATGCCTTCTCAAGCCCGTCTCTGGGTGCGGGATTTCTCGCTGTGTTGAAGGCCCATTGATGGCCTTGGGTTGTTTTGTACATTTGGTGGAAGTGTTGTCTCTTTGATACATTCTCCGTTTCCATTCTTTATTATTAGTTAAAAAAAATGCGGGGCTACCTCTACTTACGTAAATGCCAATAATTGTTGATACATTTTTCTGCATTTTCTACTATATGCCCAATTTCTTTGCACTTGTGACATCTTGAATTCTTATAGAAACAACTGTCCGCACTATGTCCAGATTTTCTGCAGCTGTAGCATTCTGACGATCTCATTGTCACTTTATGGGTAGTTAATACTTCATTTCGAAATTCGTTGCCTTCTTTTTCCGCAGCTTCTATACCAACAGCAATCTCACACGCTTTTTTCAAATCAAGTTCACTTTCGGATGAAAATTTCCGTTGGATGGTTTTTGAATACAGTCCACAAACAAGTCTGTCTTTTAACGCTTCCTCTAAAAATGCATTAAATTGAAAAGTGTCAGCCAGTTTTCTTAGAATGACAATAAACTATTGACAGATTCCTAACTGTCAGGATTAATTATAAGCGAATTAAACTATTGTGATAATGTATCATGAAAATATAACAGATATTAAGAAAGGATGAGGATTTTTTGAATTTTGCTTCGTCGTCACCATTGAAAGGTGCCCCTATTTCCACCGCCAATGTAGTAAATAACAGATTAAAAGTGAAGAAGGTTTTCTATATGGCTAGTTCTTATCTACTGTTTACCGAGGAACATTATGAACAAAGATTTGGTGTTGGTTTTGAGTATACACCCCAGGAGTGAATCCTCAAAGGGTGAATTATTGACGTTAATGTGAAACCCGACAGCACAACAAATCCTATGTAGAGACGAGCTTATATAAATGGAATACACAATTGTCTCTCGTCTATGCTAATTCCCCATTTCCATTCTCAATTTTGATTAATAAAACTGATGCACTAAAATATTACAAACATTAGATATTTATCAATTTCACTGATTGATTGGTGTGCATTGATTTTACACGATTTATGGAGGAGCCCTGTAAAAAGTTATAAAATCTGCACACATTAAGCATATTATGAGAATGGTGTAATCAAAATACAGGATAAAACTATAATTTCATTTCTGCATAATTTCAATTCAAGGTCATATATATACTGCATGTATTGAAATGATTAAACCAGATATCATAGATAATTCCCTTCATCATTGTTCTTAAATATTGTTTATATGCACAATTGTGATATTTGTATTTTATGAAGCTAAAGCACTGATATAAATAACTTAAAATGATCTCTACTTCAGTTAAAAGGAGCAGTATTTCATGATATTTGATGACTTTTGTCATTTAGACACATTTTAGATGCATATGTTCATTTGAAATTTACGAATTCTTATCAATGCATTTAAAAAAAATAATTTTCCCAGCAGACGATTGCCAGAAGATAGTTTCTATTTTTTAGATGTCAATGATAACTATATTCAACTGCAATAAAATATTTAACGTAAAGGTGCATTTAGTTTATTTTGTCGTGTTTATCACAGTTTGGCATGAATCAAACTTCATCTCAAACTTTTGTCATGAACGTTTCTAATGAAGGGGTCCTATAAACATGTGGAGTGCGCACTTGAATCGGCATTGTGCGATGATATAACAACCACTCACTGGGTTGGTGATGCTGCTTGAAGACTGTCAGTCCCTGAGGGAATCAAGTGGCAAGTATTTAAACCAGTGATTTAGAACAAGCAGAATTTGAACTACATATTTTGACATAAAACATACAGTTTATGAATAATCAAACTGAACCGAAACAACTCCTCTCCGTGATTGTGGTTGTTCTGAATACGTTAAAAAATGCAGCAATTAGCGTCTTACTTGTAAATAAAATATTTCTTTAAAAATTAGTAAAAAAACTTTTCCTCACCCTTCCGCCTACTGTAATGTTGTAAATAGAACTAAAACAATGAAATAACTCGGGAGAGTTCTAACATTTTTCAACCTCAAGAGCTTCATGCATGATAATAAATCAAAATGGTTCTTTCATGTGATGATCTGACGATATTAATTACAGACTGGCCTCTCATCAATAATCTTGATGTTGATGAAAATTTTATGATAAGACTTTATGAAACCTGTTATGAGTGTTATTTCTGATATTTTGTTGGTTTGTTAGACATTTGGAAAATTAGGTGCTTATTTTGTGAAATAAAATTCAACTACAGTTTTCAATCCTGATCCCCGAAACCTCGCAAGGAGATTGCACACATATTAAAATTATGGAAATTGTTGATACCATCTTTGTTCCCCTACTTTTACATTATTTATCAATACTACGGATACTAGTTTATCGATTTTGCATGGCTATTGTATATAGGTACAAAGTGGATGGACAAAATGATGATGTTTAGCAGAGCGAATTAGGACAAATATTATAATTTAGTCTTCTAACAAGAAAATGTATTATTCGAAAACATTTTATCAATATTTTTATGATTATTTGTAGTAATGTGTTTTTGTACCTGTGAGGTATTATGTAAGGCTTAGTATAGACTGATGAAAAAAAGCATCCACAAATGTAGCTTTCTGCAATACTTTATAGGTAAGGGTAACTGTAGCCTTGTGACACATCCTTAATACACCAAAGCACCAGCTATGCATATTTAGCTGTGCATAATATTTGTAATCTTTTCAATTTTCAAATCTTATAATTACATTGACCCAATGGGTGAAGTGAGCAAATATCATCACTTGGCGTTCGTTGTCGTCGTCCGTCGTCGCCCATTAACTTTTACAAAAATCTTCTCTGAAACGACTGAGTAAATTAGAACCAAACTTGGCCTCAGCCATCATTTGGGTATCTAGTTTAAAAATGTGTCCGATGATTCCGCCTGCCAACCAATATAGCCGACATGTCTAAAAATAAAGCAAAGGGGTAAAATGCTAGTTTTGTCAATTATCTTGACAATCACTAAATAGAGAAAATCTGAGAGGTCAAACATGTTCTTACTGTTGAGGTCTACCTACATTTCAATTAGATATCTAAGGATAAAAGTAACTGCATGAGTTCAATTTGAAAACGGACAACGAGTAAAAGTCTTTCTTGACTTAATCGGTGGCTGAATATCATATACTGGAGAGAGAAAAGTCGTTTTGGATGGAAGCGAAAATCTGCGAGTATGTCACCTCTCAAGAAAATGAAAAACAGACAAGATGATTCCAATGGTACGGTAAACTGTCATCCCTCTACAATAACAGAATTGTCTGTAAAACATAAGACACTACTGAACTGGCATACATGATCAATGAAAAAATAACATGTATCTTAGACTCAGGAAACATATTATTTTTTTAATATGTTTAGATCTCTCTTTCTTCATCACAGGGCATCACTAGACGAAGATTCACATGCGTACATCAAGAGAGCAAGAACAATGTCAACAAAATAGAGAATGCATGATATGAGAACAATTCATTTTAAAAACGAACAGACAAGTTTGCGAAAAAGAAAAGAAGACAGATTTGTTCTTGGGACAAAACCGAAATCAAGTTTAAGTCACATGATAGATATTACCAGGGATATGTCAATAAATAGAAGAAAAAAATATGAATATTTTTTCCGGTACAGGGAAACTAATCACATGTTTTCCGTCGTTACATTAAAACTTCGCAATTGGTTATTCTAACTTCGTATTTTCTTGATTTAGTGTGGTGTATGATAAGCAAAGGAATAAGATAAGCATACTGAAATGTCATTCACTTCGATATTTGTAGCATTCGTCTGTATATTAGATTTAATTGTATATGCGGTTGACGGTAAGTATCAATGATTGTTAAGTTTAAATTAGCTTGTTATCTCCATTGATTTGTAAACATTTGAAAACCATATTTTGGATCCGAATTTCACTTTTTTTCTCCAATTTTATAATTTGCTTTAAAAGTGGACATTCTCTTTCTGTATTCATTTTTATGAACAAAATTATTCCTAACTATAGGAATGGCACAGATATTGATAGGCTTTTTTCTCTTTTTCTTCTCTCTACTACGATTATTACGCATCGCTTTATCTCGATTTTTTTTTACATCTCCTGCGCGCTTATGTACATTATAATACATCTATTTCATCTGTTCTATGAAATACATTCGACAAGTAGGATTATTTCAACAATTTTATAATATTATGAATTTTCAATTACATATTCGTAAGAAAATATGAACGAGAACTGTGTGTGTGAAACATTATTCTCTAAAAATCTGAGTACCTTAAATGTAAATACCTTATAAATAGTTAGAGTAAATACAGATCTGTTCGACCAATGAAACCTTATAGCCCCTAGTAGACTGCAATCCTCAAATGGACCACCCGCAAATTAACAAATGTTTCGACATTGACTTGTTACACAATTACGCATTTTGTCTGCAGTTTTAAATTATATGTTATTGTGCAAGAACTAAGGTTGCGTCTCACTTATGCAAAGTTGAATTTTGCAGAATTTGGCCGCTCTATTTAAGACCATTTGGTTTTTTTTAATCGAAAGAACCTGATGACGGTATAAACACGTGTCGTTTATAGGGAAATTCATATCCTCCCAGTAACTAGTGCTTCGATAAAGGCATGATTTAAATGGGGCTTTTTGTCTGTAAATTCCCAGTTCATGTATTTTGTTATTTTACTAATTCTAAAGTTTCAACTCTCTCAGTCAAAGATGGTCTATGATTGCTGTGGCTGCTCTGTCTTGAATCGCTTGGCAGGATGTTGCATGCGCAAGCTAGAGAGTTTAGCCTGTCGACGCACCCGGTCTCTCTCCGTCTTGAGTTCATGCAATTTAGTCTTTTTTTTTTTTATCTTGGTATATTTAGTATTGATCGAGTTTTAAACTGTTGCCTCTTATTTATGGTCCTCAGTATAATCGTCACTATATCTTTATAATTCTATTTGTCTGTAGACTCTTTGGAATTGATTTCTGTTGAAGTCCGGTGTCCATTTATTCATATTCTATTGTGAACAAAACAACTGTGAAGCGGAAAAGAACTGTATTTGTAGTAGTCTGTTCTGGTATTCAATGTTTGAAACTATAGTGTATTTGTGAAGCAATTATTTTTTATATTTCCAGTAACTAGTGTTTCGGTGGAGACATGGTTAAAATGGTGCTTTTTCCAGTTCATGTATTTGGGTATTTCAGACAAAGATTAGTTATCATTGTTGTGGTTACTCTGTCTTGATTCACTTGGCAGTGTGTTATACATGTATGAGTAGCAAGGGAATTGGACCTGTCGACGCACCGGGTCTCCCTTCCGTTCAGAGTTCAGACAATTAAGTCAGTTTGTTTATCTTGGTATATTAAATATGGATTTTTAAACTGTTGCCTCTTATTTATGGTCCTCAGTATAAATGTCACATATCTTTATATTTCTGTTTGTCTACGGGGGTTCTTTGGTATCAAAAACATCGTTCTTATATGATCCAAGGGAGGTACATGTAAACATTTAAACTTTAATGTGTCATTTTCGTTTCTAAGGAGAGAGCACTAGAAACACAAATTAACAATGGTAAACACAATTTTTTATAAGGTTATGAATCAAAACTAAAAAGTATGTAAAGGAGATTTATTAGTAGTCCATATACATTTTATATCTATATCTATTTAAACGGAAATCTTTATACCAATATAACATATTATTTTAAAACAAAATTCTAAAGACAGGTGTTTTAGAAACGCAAGTGAACAAAAACAGTTCAGTATATTACCTGCATTCTACTATTTTATCAATCTTTATCACCCTACCGATGCATAGTCTGGTGATTTAAGGGTCTTATTGACCTCTCACGTATACCTTCCATTTCAATTGACTTTTATGATGATGGTCATCCTGTTGGTACCTGCACTGTGCAGATTTTCTAGTGTGTGTTATCATTTTACGACATATGGTCTAGATAAGCAATGGGGAGATTTTTGCGCAGGTAACTGGTCTAACCTCATCAGATTTTGTGCATGTACAAGAAAGGTTATCTGGACCATGTGTATTTGTTGTTGTTTGACTTTGTTTGGAAGTCTGTTGTTAGTGGTTGATGTAGTATGTCTTGCTGTTCGGTAGTTTCAGGTGATTACTGTTATCCTGCTTGTGTATTATACGCATAAAAATATTCGAAATACCGCAAAATTCCACCAAAATCTAAAACAAATCTCCATTTTAAACATTGTATTTTTCATATATGACACAAATGAGGTCAATGATGCATCAAAGTTATAAGAAAACTATAAGCGATATTTTTTATTCATTTACTCAAGCAGTATTAAAGGTTCTTCCAATCGATTTACTTGCAAAACATTTTTGTGTATAAAATTCAAACATTATATAAAAGACGCAAAAAGAATTCACTGGTTGAAATAAGATAGAAGAAAAGACAGAAATAAGAAAAACAAAAAGAAAACCGAACATATATTGTTTTATTAGCTTGTATCGTACCTAACTACACAGTTAAACCAAATGACATGACTTCCGTGCAAAAACAAGTGTTTTAAGGTGCAAAACATATGGTTAGACACATGATTTGCATATAATTAAAGACGCAGGTTTAACGTACCCACATAATGTATTTTAGCACAAAACTGAAAAAAATTAACGTAGAAGAATTGTATATGCTGGCACATTTTTCCCATAGTGTAGTTCAGAGAAAAACAGAAAAAGATATATGTGGACGGCATTTAAAAAGTGAATGTCTTTTCCGTTCTCTTAACTATGTTCCAACTTCAATATTAGGCTAGAAACAAGTTGTAAACACGCTACTTCAGTGTTTTGGAGAAAGATTATTTTTATTCTTGCACACTAACCCTTAATGGAAAGGATGTTTCAACTATACTACGAATCGTACTGTGTCTGTTGATAGGATGGACTGATAGGTCTATATAGGGAGGTACTATGAAGCTTTTTATAATCGCCATCATTTATTTTGTTCTTCTGTTTTCCTTATCAAAAATAAGTGTGTGAATAGCTGATTAAAAGTATTAACATAAATACTTTTTTTTCGGATAATAATGTTTTGACACTTCCTTGTAATAAAAGGTTCTGTTTAAAGGTCCTATTCAGGACATAACATGATCAGGTTTTTATAGAGGCGTGGTCAATAATCCTTGACAAAAACGTTTTTGGTATAGAAATTGCAAAACTATCTCTTTCTTTTACGTCCTTTTAGTTTTGTGTTTTTTTTTAAAGTTATTGTGCTTTTTACCTTTTATCTTTGGTCGTCGTACATTTGAACTGTTCTATATTTATTTATGTATTTTAGTGTTAGACATAAACATCTACACCACACAACAATTTGTCAGCACATTGATGGCTATACGTCGGCATATCACAAACAGATGCTAACGACAATTAACAATTTTAAAAGTGGAATCAAAAAAAAAATTATGTATGCGAAAATAAAATAAAAACAGATTTACATATTTACAAACTAATCTAGAATAGAGGCGAAAGATACCAAAGTGACATACAGACTCATAAGGTGAAAATAAACTGACAACGCCATGACTTAAAAAAAAGACAAACAGACAAACAGCAGTATACAAATCACAACATAGAAAACTAAAGACTATGCTACACGAACCCCATCAAAAACTGGGGTGATCTCAGGTGCTCCGGAAGGTTAAGCAGATCCTGCTCCACATGTGGCACCCGTCGTGTTGCTCATGTTAGTACAAACTCGGTGAAAGTTTAATTCGGTAAGTCACATTCGGGGAAAAGGGGACGGGATTGTAGTTACGATAATTGTAACATATCCGTTGTCATCTGTAAAACGAATATTCCATAACGGTCAACCAACACGTGATGGTGTCCGTAAAATTAGCGAAGGGATGATTTCAACTTCATCACTTGAAACTCCTGGTTTAATAGCTTACTTGTGAGCAGTAATCCTCTATCAAGGAAATCTTGATAGGAAATACAAGCCCTGGAATATCGTTTCAACGTGGAGATATATACTTCAATAGATACCTAAATTTAATGACTTTGGATCAGTGATTTATCGGATCCAAAGAGGTAGCACTGATTATGTTTTGTTGAAATGAGTCCCAGAAACCATCTGTGAATGGGAAAAGAACTGTATGTGTAGCAGTCTGTTCTATTGTTTAATATTTTAAACTATAATGTATCTGGTGTTGTTGATTAACTGTGGAAATGGTAATATACGATGGTCAAGCCTAGAAGTGTCACTGCTGCTGCTAGGATATCTGTTATTGACGTAGCGTTCAACCATTCTATGATAAAAGGTATCCGCTGATGAATGATTCATTATATTTCAGATAATCGCCCTTTAGATTGTGGTGACATTGATATCAAACGTGGAAGTGGGGTGTATAAGATATACCCTGAAGGATCAGGACATGATGGTTTTAATGTTTACTGTGATATGGATTCGGAAAATGTGGACGGAGGTTGGACAGTTAGTATCATTTTTACATTAATTTTCATTTTTTTAGTATTTCCTGTGATTTTATTAATGAAAAGAAATTCTCAAATATCAAGTAACGTTACAACAATGTATAAAGAGTAATGTTGAATTTTATTTATTAGATTTGTATAAACCTTAATGTGTATTATACTGCGCGCGTATCTGATTGGACATTTTGCTTAGAGTGACAAAAAGATATTAACAGTTTGTCTTATAATTTGACTGTTCAGGTGTTCCAACGTAGAGTAAATGGTGAAGAATACTTTTACAGAGGCTGGCGAGATTATAAAGCAGGGTTCGGATCTCTTCAGGGTGAACATTGGCTTGGTAGGAACACATCCTTGTTATGCTTTCGCAGAACATAATTCGAATATTTGGAAAAACCTATAATTATACCGAGTTTTTATCTTATAACAAGTGTTTCCGGAATAACCCTTATCGGGTACCATCGAAACCAAAGTTTGTAAGGTAAAAAATAGTAAACATCTAAGAGCATAAAAACGTAAAAGGTTTTACAAAGAATAGAAAAAATTACCTTAGTAAACTCTGCTTCGGTGAGTTTTATCCCAGGTTTTAATACAGTTGTTTTACTTGTAAGCTGGAAATTGTCAAAGACAATATACATCAATATTTTATAGCATTTATATTACATATTGATTACCTCACCTAAACTTTAGTTTCCATGAATATATAAAACTTCAGTGTACTTCGTTCCAATGATTTTGATGCAAAATTACTATAAGAAGTTTGAAACTCTTCTTAAGGTAATGCCAAACTCCATATCCTGACATCCCAAGCAAATTATGAACTCTTAGTTAAAATGAAGACTTTCGCAAATGAAAATGGATATGCTCGATACAGCGACTTTAAAGTGGATGATGAAGCTTCTAAATTTACGATGACATTGTCTGCATCTACTTTCACTGGAAATGTCGGTGAGCAATATTTACATATTTTTCTCCTCCAAAATTATGTTGTCCAAATATTGGATTTTATTCTATTCAGCCCCCTCCCCCATTGTATATTAATTCATAATATTCCTATATGATATTTCGAATAACTTTGAAAAACTACAAATGTATGAATTAACAAATATGCTGAAAACAATGTTTTGTACATTTCACTTTATGGTACATGTAGTCTATAATTGTTTGATAAAGAATGGTAATTATTGACAAAGAGGTGGTGGCTCTTGCGCCAAACATCAAAAATGAGGTTGAAGACTATATTTGGTCTTTCTGTTAAAACTTTCAAATTTAATGTTCAATGATCAAATCGTAGATATATTACAATACTTTTTTTTTATTCCTCAACATTTTGTTCCATCGTGATTTATTTCATTGTGCTCTTAACTTGTAATTGGCATTTATCATTTCTGTATATCAATTCTAGATTTTAGTTTGGGTCAACTAAATTTATACGATATATTTGGTTTACAGTTTGATTTAGAAGAAACACCGACATAGCTAGATAATACTATTAATTAACTTATTACTACCACATTTTATATTAATTAGTATTGTAATTTTCGTTGTTATTAATAAATGTTATACCAAATCTGAATTCTATCCTAATTCTATCCTATTTTAGGGAAATTTCAGAAATTCAAATGTGACGTCACTTTTTTTGCGTTGATCTCTTTGGCTAACTCGGCTGTGAATTTTTATGTGCTGGTTTATGTTGTTTTATGTATCCGTTTTTATTCTGTAGTTAGTCACCACTTCGGTGTTATCATGTATATCTATTATATAGTCATTTTTATAAATTTACTGTTTGCTAAAGTATGAATTATTCTAAATACTAAGGATTTTCTTATCCCAGACATATAACCTTAGCCGTATTTGGCACAACTTTTTTGAACTTTTGGTCCTCAATGCTCTTCAACTTTGTACCTGTTTTGTCTTTTGAACTTTTTTGATCTGAGCGTCACTGGTTAGTCTTGTGTGGACAAAACGCGCGTCTTACGTATTAAATTTTAAACCTAGTACCTTTTGTTAGCTATTATTCGTATGTTTCTCTGTCCTATATGTTCTCCCATTTATTTGTATTGTAGTCCTGTCATGTAATGTTGTCATTTTAATGTTATATTTAACATTGCCATAAAAGCGGGAGGTTTGGCTAGCCATAAAACCAGGTTCAACCCACCATTTTTTTCTTAAAATGTCCTGTACCAAGTCAGGAAAATGGCCATTGTTATATTATAGTTCGTTTCTGTGTGTGTTACATTTTAATGTTGTGTTTCTGTTGTGTCGTAGTTCTCCTCTTATATTTGATATGTTTCCCTCAGTTTGAGTTGGTAACCCGGATTTGTTTTTTTCTCAACCGATTTATGAATTTCGAACAGCGTTATATTACTGATGCCGTTATCTAACAAATAACGGTATCTTTCATTTTTAATACTGAAATTACATTTACTGATAACAAAAAAATATCAATCTTACATTACGCGTTAACTAGAATTGAAACAAACGCTATTATTATCAAATATTAATGTGAACACAATTTGTCAATGTTTTCAACTTTAATAATGATACAGATTAATATTATAAATTATTTTATTCTCATTAAATTCCATTAATAGGAGACTCCTTTAGCTATCACAGTGGTAAGAAGTTTAGTACGAAAGATCAGGATAATGATGTTTATTCAGGAAGTTGTGCTGTAAATCATAAAAGCGGGTGGTGGTACGGAGATTGTCATTCGTCTAACTTGAACGGAATTTACCATGCTGGAAATCATACATCCTATGCTGACGGTGTGAATTGGAAAGTATGGAAAGGCTACCACTACTCGCTGAAGGAAACGACAATGATGATACGACCATTGCAATAAATTCATTGTTTTGGAAATGAAATAATAGAAAGTCAAAACTATTTATTAAGTATGTGTAAGCACATTATTCACACACCTATTAATAAATCCCCTAAAAAAGAACTTTATTTTTTTTTTAAATCTTACTATAGATTATTAATTTAATATCTTTATTGCTCCTATTTAGACAATTATTATACCCAACGCAACGAAGTTACGAAGGGTATAATGTTTTTGACCCGTCCGTCTGTCTGTCCGTCCGTCCGTCAGTCATGTTCTTGTCATCGCAACTCCTCTGAAACCACGCAACAGAATTTCATGAAACTTTGTAGATAATAAGGACATACTATGTAGATGTGCATATCGACAGGAAATTATGATTCAATTTTTTTCCTAGGAGTTATGCCCCTTTGAACATATTGGCCTTAATATACTACTGCAACAGTTTGTCATCGCAAATCCTCTGAAACCACACAACAGAATTTCATGAAACTTTGTAGATAATAAGGACATACTATGTAGATGTTCATATCGACAGGAAATTATGATTCAATTTTTTTTCTAGGAGTTAAGCCCCTTTAAACTTATTGGCCTCAATATACTACTGCAACAGTTTGTCATCGCAACTCCTCTGAAACCACACAACAGCATTTCATGAAACTTTGTAGTTAATGAGGACTTAATATGGTAATGTGCATATCCACAAGAAAATGTTTAATAGTTGATTGTTGAAGTGTTATGAGTCTTTGAACTTAGGAATCTGGTGAGATTTTGTTTGTCCATTGACAATGTGGGGGCGTGTGGTATATGAGCGTGCTTACAAAGGTTTTTTAATTGATCAAGAGCTTGCTATTATATTCGAACATTTTCTATCGATATCGTTAATTTTTTTAAACCATATATAACATTCAGAATGTGTGGCACCTTGTTGGATGAATAGGGTTGGAATTATTTGAAAGCTTATCCATTTAGTTTTGAAAATATTCTGTTGTCAAATGGAAATTAAATCTATATTTGACTAAGGATAGAAAATATATTCATTGTATTTTATTAAAGAACCATTCAAAACTGTATTCCATAAACACTTTTCCGCATTAACCATGTACGTTTTTGTTGCTGTAATAAAATACTTAACTCTTTGGTAACAGGAACTATTATCCATTGTTTTTTAGTTTGTTTAGTGTTCAAGAAATAAAATATTGAATTGTTAAACACCACAAGTACCCTATAGAAAATAAATAGCAAACAAAATTGCGCTTTTGTAACGTGTACAAAATGTACATAAACCTCGACAATACTTTAATCATATGCTATTGATAATTGTTATTTAAGGCTATTCGAAATATCTTCAGCTTTTTACCCTTTTAAAAATGGATGAAATACAAGTTACTGGGTTTTAAATTCATACGATTTGACATCAGATATGCACAATAAACACGAGTGTTTCAATCATATTTGGAAAATACAAGTTCAAATGACTTCAAAGACGGTAAAATAAAATAAAGCCTTTAAAAAATCAATTTAAGTATATTGCGTCCCTTTGAAGACAAATTCTAAGATCATATTACAGTCATAATTTGATAACTTTTCAGAATAGGTTTAAACTTCTACGTGTACATCAAAATTTCCAAACCAAATCTTTATAAAAATAAGGAGATGTGGTATGATTGTCAATGAGACAACTATCCACCAGATTTCAAATGACGTGGAAGTAAGCAATTATAGGTAACCGTACGTCTTTTAACAATGAAAAAAAAACAATTGGGTATAGTCAGCTATAAAAGGCTCCGACAGAAAAACAATTCAAACATGAAAACTGACGCTCTAATTTATACCAATTCAATTTACAAAAAAACATTTGTCAGACATGAACCAACGACAACCACAGAATAACAGTCTATTGGCTTTGTACAGGCTCATAGGAATGTGGCAGTATATATGTATAACAGAATGAAGTAAAGGTTTTATTTATTTGTGGTAACGGAATCACCGACTTATAATTAATTTACCAGTTTCACATAGAATACTTTCAATGAAATCTAAGTGTTACTACAGACACGGGCATAGTGAATGAGTTGGGAAATATACATATCGTATGAAAGGATCATAGGAACATCGCAGCCCCCAAAGGAAAACCAGCAAAAGGAAACGAAAATTGTATGCCGTGTCATCAATTCTTCTATAAGTTCTCTCCATTTAAACGACAATGTTTTGACAGTGGCGACAGGTTTGAACATCTTTGACTTAATATAAACTTATTATAATAGCTTACCTTTAAAATTGAAATCAAATTGCCTTGATTTGTTTTCCAACTTTTTTAGGATGTTTCCTCTACCGTTGAAATTAAGATAGTTTATGACAATGGCTACACATTTTACAACGAGTTGATTTTTATAAAAATCAATATCATTTATATGAATAGATAGCTGAGCGGGAAACAATCAAATGTGAATTAACTTTTGACCTTGTACAATTCTACAATAAGACTCCTGCCAGAGGCACCAACACGCAACCCGTGTTGACAGAGTTCCAGGATCCTAGCAAGAAAATGACACCTAGCATCACTCGTTATGAGTTACAATATGAAAGGGTGAAGTTGAGACCCTTCAAAACTCTCCACAATTTTATGTGGCATAATCATACCCGTTTTGTGTCTAATGTCTCTGTAAACTTAGTTATTTTATGTTCATTTCTATTTTATCCTTTCAATGTTAAATGCTTCGATATAGCAGTTTGTGCTGCTGGTGCAAAACACAAATTTCAATCAATCTGATATTCTTAAAACATCATTGTCTCAAACAAAATAGACGCGGAACCTAGCAAGTCAATAATGTTTTAGTCAATATGCAAAGTTCATAGATATAGTGAGATATAAATGACGCTCAAATGTTATGTGCAGCCAACCAAAAGAGCCTAAGTTGATTGCTGTGTATATCAGAGTGTTTCCTACTTACCATTACATACATAAAGAGACGTAACTCACAAAACATGGGGAGATGGGCATCCAATTGCTGATATAACAAATTTTGCTCTTTATAACTGAATTTCTCGAAAATGTAAACAACCCCAAAAAGTCATGATTCGCTTTCAATTGTGTAAACACGTATTCCAGGGAGTTCTTGTGTACTGAACAGTAAGCATAACATGCAAAACTTGGAACAGTTTCTGTCTCTCATTCCATGCAATACTTTTATAAACCACACAAATCAAAACGTCTACCCTAAACATGCACAACATGGTGCATTTTAAAAATGTATGCATGTCCTATCTTAATTTCCTTCTGAACTTTAAACTCTAAACACTGATCGAACGTCAAAATGAAAAGGAACACAAAAACTGTTACTCGTAGAAGCAGCACATGCATTGAAACGAAATAGCACAAATTACGATATTAAAAACTTTGGTAAAAGCAACAAAAACCCCTCAAAAACAAAAGTATGGACAAATTTCGTGTGATCTGGAAGGGTAAGCAATTTCTGCTACAGAAAAAATGTAGTGACATCCGTCGTGTTGTTTATCTGGTGATAAGTTGCATTCAGAGCTGTCACAATCGACGAAAAATTAGACTTTCCCCCACATCAATATTTTTGTATAAGACATCTTTTAGCCAAAATATCTTTTTAGTAAGGTTAAGGCTGATAACTAAATAAGACAAGACCTCAAAATGAGGCTATTTTGTAATTAAATGCAAGAAGTTTTAAATTCTACATTAGTATGTTAACTATAATTCAAAATAGTGAAAACTGATATCTGACAGATATATGTCGTGTACACTTCTTCAGAAAGTTATTTAATCATAACTTGATAAAATTTCTTCGAATTCAAGTGGCAAAAAATGAAACCCTATCATTCCTTCACCTTTTCTTCTGCAACAGATTTTTAAAACCTTGAATAAAATGATTAAATTAAATGTCGTTAAAAGAATACTATGTGAGATATCAATTTATCGTCCTTTCTTGTCATATTTCCAGATTATTTTTTTCTTTTTTCATCATGATACTATGATGGATTTTCTTAATTTCAGCTTTTTTTTTAGAATAGTTTATCTCGTCTGAATATACTTCTATAAAATAAGATTATAATTTCATAGTTTTTTAATGCAGTCATTAACTATCATTCTGTGATATCTTCAAGCAGTAGGTATTATACTGTAACAGTTTTAACTCTTTTTAAAGAAAGTAAACTTGATTAAATAGATAGATGCAGCGAAGATAGTTTTAAAAATGTTAAAATATTTGTTTTGATATCATTAATAAAACGAATATTCTTCTAGTACTTATGAAGTTTATTGGTACTATTGGAATAAAATATAATTGCAGATAATTTGTCTTTTGTAGTTTATAAAATTTAAATACCTCTTTTGGGAAAGGATCATATCTAAAGATGATAATTAGACATGAAGAGAAGAAAAGAACTCACCATTGTTCCAGGTAAGGGGAGGGCTGGCGCCTTCAAACTAGTTTAACCCCGCCACATTCTATATGTGCATGTGCCAAGTCAGGAGCCTGTAATTCAGTGGTGGTTGTTGTTTGTTGCTGTTTATCATATTTGTTTTTCGTTTGTTGTTTTGTATAGTGTGATCTTGTGTTGTGTTATTGCAATACTGTCCTATGTTAGGAGGAAGGTTTGGTGCCATCTAACTAGTTTAACCCCGCCACATTCTGTATGTGCCTGTCCCAAGTCAGGAGCCTGTAATTCAGTGGTTGTCGTTTGTTTTTGTATATTATATTTGTCTTTCGTTCATTATTTTGTATCATTTGAATTGTTTTACATTTGTCATTTCGGGGGCCTTTTATAGCTGACTATGCGGTATGGGTTTTACTCATTGTTGAAGGCCGTACAGTGACCTATAGTTGTTAATTTCTGTGTCATTTGGTCTCTTGTGGAGAGTTGTCTCATTGGCAATCATACCACATCTTCCTATTTTTATATCAGTACAAAAAATGTCCTGACAAAAAAAAGTTCTGCGGAAATTAAAAAAAATTATGTATTTGGAATTTCATAGAAGACAAAATAAATGAGCAAAACATAAAACCTTGATGATGATTTTATTTAACTTACAACAGGAAACTGTCTTAAACAAATATCCGGAGGTCTCCGTTATGAAGTTACATAAAACATTTTTATGCGTTTTTCCTATCTATAATACTAAATGCGGAGACCTGTTTTTGTGTGTCACTTCTGCGTATTCAGCCGTTAAATTATATACAATGTTTATGAGTTTTTTCCTATGTAAACTAAATACACCTTGTATCTTCGAAGTTCATTAGTTAAAGTATGAAAATGGTATCATTCACTTTAAAAACTGGGGTGTTCCTTGGAATCATAGTGGTATTGGTGAATTCAACAAGTATTCAAAGTAATACTGAGTATCCTCTACTGTTGTAAATTCTTTTTTATATTTATTACATTTGTATAACCAAATCATGTTCGTTCATACTTGAGTGCAAATTCGTTTCAATTGAACTAGACAAGTCTTAAATTTTATGTCATCTTTATTTCAAGTTGCATATTTTGTGAGAATTTTTACCGTGGCAGTTTATTACTATTCGAGGACCAATTACAATTTATCATCATTGAAAAATTAGTGGTAACTTGCAGTTACTGAACCTCTTTTCTTTGTTAAAAGAGAGATTTTTAATGACTGTCCGATGTGCTTTATCTAAATGTTTGTTTAAATTTTCAACAATTACTCATGTGAAGAGTGTTACAGGAAAATATCTAACGAATTTCGGACGGAACATGCACAAGGTCATGTTTTTCTCTGACTGTTAATGACGTCTGTAAACTAAATCCATTGGAGGTTGGATGTGATATTCTAGTCTTAGAGACATGATTTTTTTATCAGTTGTTATTGGCTTTGAACTAGCTGTCAGTAACTGCGAGTACTCTCAGATCTGTACTTAGTGTCCTTTTTGTTGTTAGGGATGAGGGATGGATAGATACCCTGCCACGTCCGGTCTGTGTTTATGTTTGATGTTTTTCTGCTTTGTATCGATCTGATGAGTTAAGACTTTTTCAACTTATTTTTATATATAGAATAATCATACATTGTCTGGAAATATAGATTTTATTTGTACAAGGCTTAGAAACAGATAGAAGCGAGGCTGTGCCGAGCATTTCTATCCTGTTTTGAGCCGAGTACAAATAAAATTTATATTTCGAGACAATGTATGGTTATTCTTTATATACTGCAACTCCTACATCTGTTCCAAACGAAATATTAAGGATAATATTGCAGTCCCAGGTTAGGGGAGGGTTGAGCGCTCATAAACATGTTTAACCCCGCCACATTCTTTATGTGCCTGTCCCAAATCAGGAGCCTGTAGTTCAGTGGTTGTCGTTGGTTCATGTCTGTCATATTTGTTTTCGTTTATTGTTTTGTTATAAATAATGCCGTTAGTTAATTGAATTGTTTCATATTTTTCATGTCGGGGCATTTTATAGCCGACTATACGGTATGGGTTTTTCTCATTGTTGAAGGCCGTACGATTGCCTACAATTGCTTTAAGTTACATCCACTTTATTTGAACTTTGGTGGATAGTTGTCTCATTGGCAATCACACCTCATGTTCTTATTTTTATATTCATAACGGCACAAGTCGGAACAAAGAATAACTCGGACCAATTAAAATACAATTCGGAACCATTTATGGACGCCATTAATCAGGTTTTTTTCATTTTCTACTACATGTACAACTAATTAATTTGTGATAACATGATCAAAAAGGCTGATCATAAACTCATTGAAAATAATTAAGTTCATTTAATTCATTTTGGTTGCCAATTTATGGGCTCTTCATCGTCGTATTTGATATGGCATTCCAACTGTTTTTATTTGAGCGCCTCTAAATATCCACGATATTGAAGGTTTTACAAAAGAGGCCCAGGTTGCTAAATTACCTTTGTTAGAAAACACAGTCGCACCTAAACAGGTACATCTAGAAGTTTAAAACAAATATCTTTGTATGTCATACATATGTTCGTCATTTTTTTGCAAGATTGCTTCTAATTTGTAATAAGTACTAGTAGTTTTCAAGTTTGTCTTTGTTGTCTTTTAAGTACTAGTATATGAATGCATTTAATCCATTATATTTTATTCTGGATCTTCGCATGGGATATAGGAGGGTGTGGATTGAGTTTACAGAACAGAGAATAATAGGTAAAAAGTGCAGAAAAGGGGCCAAAAAAAAGAAGAATAGAGAAAAATAGGGCAAATAAATAAAGAATAGAGAAACATTACCTAAAAACTTAAAGAATACAAAAATGAAGGACATCCATCCAAACCCTCATATTCCTCATTGTCAGTGTTTTATATCTCCTTAGCTGTCAGGTGGAGGGGATATAGGGCCGATTGGCTGGGAATATGAGCCCATATCCCCTGTGAAGCCCGAATAAAAATAATACATTATACTTGAGTGTCCTGATTTTAACATTATTTGCCATTTTTCTCTTCGTTCTTGTTCACAGCGGCTATGGGCTCATTTCCCTGTCAATGTGTCCAATCAAATTTCCGGATCAGCCGGAATATTTCACTTCATTATAATGTAAGTTCATAGTCTTCGTGAATTTAATTCATGCAAAAAAAAATTTTTTTTATCTGGACAATGCTTTTAAGTATAGCTTGTGTATTTGATCCTAAATTATGCTGAATAATATGTAAGAAACTAATATGTTTGTTTAAATATTGCATAACTATCGGACTTAAACAATAAAAAATATTCTGTACAAAACTAAACATAAATATTTAAAAATAAATGTACAAAACTAAACATAAATATTTAAAAATAAATGTACAACATTTTATTTTTAGGTGGATCCTACACCAAAATTCCAATAGATTGTGGGGATATTGATATTAAAAAAGGAAGTGGTGTGTACATGATTTACCCGAGAGGCTCATTAGATGGCTTCAATGTATATTGCAATATGAAGGTAGAAAATGTAGGTGGTGGATGGACGGTGAGTTTACAAAAGCCTAATAACAAGAAATTTATTGGCGTCATATGGCTGTTGGTCAAATTCAAGGAAGAATTACTCATTTGTTTTTTTTTAAAGACGTGTATTTGGTCAACAGTTTGGAGACAAGATAAGTCGGATAAATATTTCTGTTCTTCATCTGAATATATATATATATACGTGCTACGTTTTTTCTGTTCACAGTTGGTAATTAAAAAACTAGATAATATGCCATTTGATAACTTGTGTTTGCAGAATCATGGAAGTAATATGGTCAATATTTGTTTTTTATAATATAATACTTCCATAGTAGAATTAAAAGAAACGCCGGATTCAAAGCGAGTTTAGCATATTATTTTGCTTCCATTTAAGATACCCCAATTCTATTAACATAAAAAATACCAATGTAAAATTGAGAATGGAAATGGGGAATATGTCAAAGAGACAACAACCCGACCAAAGAGCAGACAACAGCCGAAGGGTCTCCAACGCAGCGAGAAAATAGAAAATCCCGCACCCGGAGGTGGTCCTCAGCTGGCCCCTAAATAAAATTGTGTACTAGTTCAGTGAAAATGGACGTCATACTAAACTCCAAAACATATAAATGAACTAAAATTAAAAAACATACAAGACTAACAAAGGCCAGAGGCTCCTGACTTGGGACAGGCGCAAAAATGCGGCGGGGTTAAACATGTTTTGTGAGATCTCAACCCTCCCCCTACCGGTATACCTCTAGCCAATGTAGAATAAAGAAACACATAGACGGCGTGCACAAAGCTGAGTCCACAAACGTAACGTCTTCAAATTACGACTTCATTTACGACGTCGGCATTATTTCCCCTAGAAAACAAACGTGTAACAAAAACACTGGACACTTAGTTTATCACATCACTTTAAACATAAACGTTCAACATATCTCATTTTTTCCCAACAACAAAGTGCAGCAAAAGCACATTCTGGAACTATAAATAAACATATCCTAATAGCAGTGGAATGGAAATAATAAGCTACTATGTCGTAGACCCTATTCAGAAAATAGCGTTAAAACGTCATTTCTTTAAATTGTAACATAATAGTTAGACATTAAAACAATTCAGGGTACCGTTTCACAAAGCCTTCGTAAGTCTACGTGTCATCGTACGTTCATCGTAAATAAATCGTAGGTTTTACAGCCGTTTCACAAAGCCGTCGTGCTATACCCAGTCGTATCTCGATCGTAGTTTTTCCGCGAATATGAACTAAACCATATCTAAGATGGCTTTATTCTCGATCAAGATGCTGCAAATGTTAGAAGACGAAGAAGAATCTTCAATATTAGAACCACACTTTCTTCGTTTGATCATTTTGAAAATGAAATGGATATTGTATCCAGATACAGACTGGATAGACACAGTATCAATGAAATAACATTGGCAATAGAACCAGATATAAAACATGATACAAATAGGTCCCATGCACTTACTCCTGAAACGCAGGTTTTGTAAGCTTTGCGCTACTCACTGGTTCTCCGGTAAAGCGCCAATTTTATGACGCTGATTTGTTCCACCGTAACAAAGCAAAACTAACGACTTCGAGTTGTATACCCGTAGCTTGTTATACTTATATCTGAGATTTTTATATTTCTTTATTATCTATATTTTTAATTTTTTTAAAGTTTAGTACATATTGCACAACGATAGTGATCGTACCGGTACGGCCGTCATAATGTTTTCTTCGTAAACCTGTAATTCCCGTTAACGGATAGAAGACCAAGCAATATTAAATATTTAGCACAACATAGAGTGTGGTATGAGTTAAATTTGATTATAAGGTTACCATAAATAATTTTGTTTATAAGGTTACCATACTGAATAATTTTGTTAAATCGTCATTTATTCCAAATCATATCAGTCTTGAAAACTAAACAAAGTTGAAAACTGCAGAGATTTGTTAAGCATGTAATCTCCGTGGAATGGTATATCCTAAACAAACACCTATTTTGAAAATAAATTCTACATCCAACAGATCGATATCGGTGTCAACATTCAATTTTAATACAACTTCTATCTTCAGATTCAAGCATTATGTTTTATAAATGACGAAATCATCGAAACGTAATCTCCGTGGAATGTAATCTCCGTTCACGTTTTTGTGAAGAGTGCTTTCTTTCACGTCCGCACTTCTATCGAGTATGGCATGCCAAATAAACATTTTAGATAATAATTACGGATGGCGAATATATATAAATTACAGATCAATAACTTACATTGTAATTCAGACGACATAAGAAGACACCATGTGACAATTTTAATTAGTCAATTGTTTTAGTGTAACAGAGTTGCTTTTTTTCTTAGATCTACAAAAAAAAAAAAAAAAACACACAAAAAAACAAACTGGATGTTTTTATATCAATATTAATGCAACTAAATAATTTTAACCCGTTTTCAATATTAAAGATCTGAAACTTTTATTATTAATATAAATTTGATACCGAATTTAATACGATTAAACATTATGCAAGTAGTCATAAAAATTGCTCTGCCTACTGAGTTTAATAAATCATATTGCACAGGGAGAGAAGCTTTTAAATACTTTCTTTCATTAAAAATGAAATTACGACGTCGGCTGAGAGGGCATGGTATATATTGTCCGTTACATTTATTAACAACACCTTGTACAAATATTCTTTTCGAAAATAAAAACAGTTAACTAGAACAAACAAAACTATCCGTCACAATGATATATGAGGGTCTGGTTTAGGGGGGAAAAGGGGGGGGGGGGGGGGTGGGGGGGTTTTACATTTCTGTATTCTGTAATTCTTTTTGCCATTTTTCTCTATTCAGTAAGTTCTGTAAATTCTTGTGTTCAGACCGTGCATATGAAAATTTCCTGTTGTATCATGATTTTGACATGCTATGATCTTTTTGTCTGTATCAACGACATATAAATATTTGAATCTACATTTTAAATTGATACAAAAAATCAAAATTCTCTGATCTATAGATTTTCATAAATGGAGTCTAAAATATATCCATAATAAATGCACTGTATCAAATGCATATATTAGAACAACTACTTATAAACTGCTACGCGTCGCATACTATGTATAGAGACATGCATCATAAATCTTAGTTAAAAGACAAATTAAAAAAAAAGAATTCTAAAAGCTTTCTTTGACAAATTTTATACTAACTTCATTTTAACAAGTTTAAATTACATTTTATTAAATTAGAGCTAAGAACTGTTTGTAATGTTGTAAATTTAATTCGTTTGAAATTTTTATTCAAATACGCTGTTGAAGATAACTAAGCGCCAATAAAATACAATAATTTTGTATTTTATAAATTAGTGTCTTCGATAATGAAAAATTCGTCATCGAACAGTCTCATTATCATGTCGGTATTCGAAATGACTCGTTTCATTGTTATTACAAAAAATAGGTCATAATAACATGACAGAGTTTTTTTTGCTTCAGAATGTTCTAGATAAATATACAAAAAGCAAAGTTTAGACAATGTACCCTCATAAGCCTGGAAGTGGCTAGTCACATATAGTTAACGGCGTTTTTCTCACAATGATGTTCTACCTCCATAAGCCTGGAAATGCCGTGGCGGGTCGCATATAATCAATCCTTCTGACTTCATAAATTTTGTTAGAGAGTCGGCTGAATTAAGACGTTATATGATGAAAATTAATTAATTTCCTTCCGTGAAAATGCATCGCATGTACAATAAAAAATCGCCCCTACAGTGAAAATGAAAGTCTAGTATCATTATTCGACAGTAAACATGAATCGCATAACGAAAACAGCATAGTGGAATTTAATTCAATATCAACAAGCTGAATAACAAAACCTGTTTTAAGTTATACAACATTAATAATTATGTTAAAAGGTACATTTTTCTGCCATTGAAACTTAACTGCTGCTTTTAAATCTCTTGCACGCTCTGTTCGTGAACTATTCTTAATATTTATCTATTTGTGTATCAATTTTACACCTTGATGGCTGTAGGCGCGATGAAAACCCGTCCGCATCTCATACCTATATCATGAATTTATAAAAACAGTATACATTATATCTCATTTCTTATTCTATTCAAAAATCATGAATTTGTCGTCTGTTTATTTATCATTCTACATTAGAAATTCATAACGGATACAGTGAAAATAGTATTTCAGGATTCGCACATTATATACACTGGTTTTGTTTATTTTTATTGGACTTTCTTTTAATTCTTTTTCAACGACAACGCATGCATTTTCTTATTTCTTGTTTGAAAATTCTTCTCTAGGTCATAAATCTGCATGAAATATTTGCCACTGTACGTTCAGAAAACATCAATCAATCAATCACATCTCCTCTAAAATTGCAGTACTATAATAACTTTAGACATTATCAAATAATTGTTGAAAAATTCGTTTACTCCTTTGATCAGATATAAACACGTCTCGTCACTCTCCAATTATTTCAAATTTCCGATACAAAGAAAAAAAGTATTATTGAATATCAAAGGAAGTAACCTATCAAAGATACAAGGCTTGTTTTTCGTCTACAAATGAAAAACATACAAACACACCCACTCACCTGATTCGCTCGTCTTCACAAATATAAAAATTCAAAATATAAAAACAATTATAAACAAAATAAAGGATAAGGTCACCCCGGATGCCGCACAAATGCCAAGTCAACGAACGAGAAACCGAAAAGGACATACTTGGATTCCAAAACCGATACCGCTAAATGCCCAGCTGTATTCCTGGTAGAGGAAAGCCAAAAATCCTACAATAAAGCATCTCGGAAAGAAACTACCGATCCATTAGTGGAACAACAGCTTAAACCCTCAGACATCAAATAGATTGGTCTGATCTGACCACATGTCTCAAACAAACCTGAAAATATCTGCAGAAATTTTCCTCAACAAAGAAATATAATCCAAAACATAGAATATAAGATGTAAGGATAACAATATTTATCCATGAAACCAATTTGGCAAAACAATTTCAATGATGTTGACGGATTCTCTCTGCAAACATTTTCACGTCCGCTATCATCGGCGTGCTCGACTCATCGATCTGTGAAAGAAGAGTGTGCCATATTCCGATGTAAATAAACTACGATTCACACCTCCTGTTTACAGCTAGAGTTCCGTTTTACGATACACTTACGATGATACACAGTGCGTAACTTGCGATCAACTTAGTAGTCCTTTACGATGCCTTTGTGAAACACACGTAACGGGAACGTAGAACCACACGTAAACGGATCGTAAAATGATACGGTGATCGTAAGTTAAGAAGGCTTTGTGAAACGGTGGCCAGGTGTTCAGACTGGACTATTGAATCATTCATATTTTGCAGATTTTTTTAAACTTCTTCTTATGCACATTTGGAATATCAAGTTATTTTGAAATAAAAAAGATAGCAATTACATATTTTTTATTACAGATTCTTCCATTTCGAATATTAATCCTTCAAAATTGCTACGTCTTACACATACCGAACTACATTCCACCATGGCCGTTTTTTTTTTTGCGGCGAATTTCGTATGACGTCATAATCCGAATCCCGGAAATTCTATTTAACGAAAATGCGGGAAAATATGTTGAATTTGTATAAATTTTAGGTCAAAAACTCTATTTTATGCTTTTTAAATGTTATTTAATGTTACAAGTTTCACATATTTCTGCCGTTTTCTCTATGTTCGTTTCATACTTTATAGATTTAATTTTGATAACCTTACTAGTAATGTGGATTTTAATGGCTAGCATGCATCATTTTGTCATAAAAAAAACTTCCTTTTTAAAAAATATTTTAAACACGGTTGTATAAAACTACTTTTAAAAGCGCATTCTACAGTTGCCGTCAACTTTGTGCACGCCGTCTTAGCAATACGCACAGTAAAACTCAGTTTAAAAGAAGTCCGAGTCCGATGTCAGAATATGTTCACGCAAAGGCCACATTGGATTAAATCTTTGCTACAAGCGTTGCTTAAATTTCAAGTCTTTGTTAACTTGATAAGCAGAATAATTAGTATATTTAGACCAGAGATAAAATAGGAATGCTGCCATTCACTATTATGCTCATTCATATGACTATGTGAAATACCAGCCTCGGTTGAAGACTCCCCTTTCCACTTTCATTGTAAGTCATACAAGATTTTCCTTACTTTTATTACTAAGTTTTCTTAAAAGGCGACGCACTGTATAAAGATGTTCTAACTGAAGTTTTCCGAGTTTCTTTTCTTCTTCATAAAAACCAAGAAGCAGAAGATACCAAAGGTACAATCAAAAACCACCTCGTCTTGAGGTGCTGCATCTATGTGCCAAATATCAAAACCACCTCGTCTTGAGGTACTGCATCCATGTGCCAAATATCAAAACCACCTCGTCTTGAGGTGCTGCATCCATGTGCCAAATATCAAAATATGTTAAAGGATAAAAAAGTTAAGTTCCAGACACAAAAATATAAAACAAAATAAAACTGTATTTTGACTTTGAGGTCAAAGGACAAGATCAAAGGGTTGTTATAATTATTTGCGACCCCGTCTTATGGTGGTAATACACCAGAGGTCATTCACCTTCATGCCAAATTTCATAAGCCAGTGTCAAAAGATAAAAAAATATGCCCGGACAAAGTTGTATGAAAACCAGAAGAAGAAGCATGTTTAGCTTCGTCGAAGGGGAGACATAACAAATAATCAAACGATATAATGACAAAATTATGGATATTTAATTGCAGGTATTCCAAAGACGATTAAATGGTGCAGTTGATTTTTACAGAGGATGGGATGATTATAAAACTGGATTTGGTACTCTTGAGGAAGAACATTGGCTTGCTAGTTTTTTTGTATTGTTTTATATAACAATGTTTATTTGTAATATGTTTGTACCACATTTTCATTTACGTAATGAGTTTTTTTTTACAATAAACAGCTTTAGGTCGTTCTGATTATTGCACATGTAAGAACGATCCGATCGTCTCGATCTATTCACTAAAATGTATATGTTTAAATTACATATCTTTGAATTTGCCTTAGATACTTACCATTGAGACGAAATTTTGTTAATAATTTGAACTAAAGGTGATATGAAATAATTGGCTCTTTGTAGTGTATCCTTTGGTACTATATTTTACTGTTGGGAATCTTTTGATTTTAAGTTGGTGAGTCTCGTGTATCACATGATCAAACATTTTTTCATACATGGATATTGTGCTTTACAATATACAAAACAATCCAACCTTATTTATATGTTCAAAGACGTCTGAAGAACCTGTGTCGGTGTTGTTGGGACACTGTAATGTACCATTGCCAGACTTTCTGTATTGATCCGCGACTTCGTTGTCGCCTCCGCCTCATTTTACTACACTGACATGGCTTGCAGTCTTCTGAACGACCAAGCTCTGTTAAATATGATTAAAAGCATCTTAAACCCAAAATATAATAGCTCCTGTCCGACAAACTTAAACAACGACAGACTTTTATTCAAATGCTCAGGAATGGCCACCAAATCCACAAGTCAGCCGTAAGATCCGGGTGAGACCAAATGTCGATAGTCAACGGCATTAATAATTATTCCAACAGTATCGTATCTTCCGATATGCCCAGTTGTTTTTTTATTCTTTCTAAACAAAATTGATTCTCTATTTCCCTGTTAGAATAAGGTAAAAAATATAGGAGATATTTGGATCAATTTAGCATTTAATTTAGGTTTGTTTGAAATATTGTACAAGGTATGTTCGCTACCATCAAAATATATTTTGTTGTTTTTAACTACTATTATATATTTGCGGTTTCTAGTTTTGACACTGTTAATACTGTAACTCACAAACTTCAAATCTTACAATTCCCGATCTAACAGTAGTTAACTTGAGAAAACTAATTGTCACGTTTTATTGCAGGCAACGAAAATCTTCATATTCTGACCTCCCAAGCCGACTATCAGCTATTAATAACAATGCAAGATTTTACAAATCGCACTGGATACGCTAAATATACAAACTTTAACATTGATGATGAAGCTGCGAAATATAAGATGACATGCTCATCCTATAATGGCAACGTTGGTAAGTTTATAAATGACATACTATGTTGGTTAGTTTATACAAATAGTTGACATAATTTTGATAGGTTTATAGGCTACATACTTATCCTATTTTGGTAGGTTTATGAATGACATACTTATCCTATATATGATATACTAATCCTTTATTAGTAATAGTGGAAGATGTAGAGGAAAAATACTCGTCCTATCCCAGTAAGTAGGTTTATAGATGGCATACTCATCCTATGGTTGGGGTTATGATGGTAGGTTTATAGATGACATATTCATTCTTTGTTGGTAATGTTTGGTAGGTTTATGGATGATATATATGTCCTATGTTGGTAATGTAGGTAGGTTTATAAATGATCATTCTATTATGATCCATTATGGTAATGTTGGTAGGTTTATATAATACTTACTCTTCATATGCTGATAATAATGATGGGTATGATATCTATCCCATTTTGGTGGGTTTATAGATGTCAGACTCATCCTATACATGTAATATTGTCTATATATGATGATAATCCTATGTATGCAATGATGGTAGTTTAATGGGAAACATTCTCAACCCATGTTGGTAAGTTTATAGATGACAAACTCATTCTATGTTGGTAATTTTGATAGTTCTATAGATGACACACAAAAATAAGAGGATATGGTATAATTGCCAATGAGACATCCCTGAACCAAAGACTAAATAAGGTGGAAGTTTACAGCTATAGATCATCGTACGGCCTTCAATAATGAGTAAAACCAATTCCGCTATAAAATGCCCGAAATAACAAAATGTAGAAATAATCCAAACGACAAAACTAGAAAACAAACTATAAAATTCAGTTGGAAGAACTCATCAGATTGAAACAAAGCACAAACACAACTAACAAAAACACCAAAGACACAAAGTACAAACCTGAGAGTATTCTGTAGTTACTTAAAGCTAGTTCAAAGCCAATAACAACTTATAAAAAATCATGTATCTGAAACTGATATATCAATCATTGAACATCCAACAACCAATAGATTTAGTATAAAGACGTCATTTACACTCAGAAAAAAACATGATATTGTGCAATGCCAAAATATAGGTATCTACAGAATATAGGACCGTGAATGTTGGTAGGTGTATAGCAATAATACAGTAGTTGGGCTTTAACTTATTGATAACAAAATCAATATTAGTACCGATAAAAAACATTTTCAAAGATCTTATTACAGTGTTAAATTGGTGACCTTTTAAGGTAAGTTTATTCAAAGGACCGATAAGATTACCCGGATCGTATTTTAAGTTTACGGGCTCGATAAACAACATCACCGTAAAAATTAGGATGTGCTGTCCGTTAGTAATAAGTTTTCTACGTGTACAGCCAAACTTCCAACCCAACTTTTTGTATATATGAAAGAATTTAGTAAAGTAATGTGTGGTCACGAAATCCTTGACTTAATGATTTATCAGTAATATTTATCAAAGGTACCAGGATTACATAGATTGCGTTCATTGAAATCCATAATGATATATAAACACTATGTAAGTGTATATGTAAGATATGTAAAAAGAAATTAACAATAGGGAACACAAAATCGTCCCTTTTGTCGTAAATTTCTGTGAAGCGTTTCCCATGTAAAACTGAAATATATAAATCTAGGAAAGGACCGTTATTGCTGTGTATATTTGATTTATTTAAGTTAAGTTCCTTTGGGTGAATTCGGCAGAATATTTAAAAAAAGAATTCTTTAATATTTAACGAAAAAATATCATCAAGACACCGGTATTGTTGCTGAATTTTCAATTAGATTGAATTTAGTCGGGTCTTTACAGAATTTGGCCTTGCACTGTAATTACTGGCAATACAGGAACAAGTCTGCTATGAAAGGGGTGCAATTGAAACGATATTTTCCGGGTTTTTTTTTTGTTGTTGTGTAGTTTAGGTAATCAATACATAGTAGGGACTTTCAAATGTTTAAAGGAGGCCTTAATCTGAGATTTGATAATGATATGATTGTATACTATTTGATATGAAACTCTGTGGAGCGCACGGTTCTGAATGTAGAAGACTTTATAATTTCATTCTAAAGAACCTCTTGTAGTATTTCTAAAAGTCATACCACCACGACATTGTTGGCTGCTTTGTTGGCCGGTAGGAACACATACCGCTTAAGAAGTGTACTTAAAATTTGTTTCTTATTCTAGAAATAGGCGCATTATGTAACATTTAGTTAATTTCTAAATTAAATTCACAATATGTATACGTTATCGGATTTTCACAATTACAACAATTTTTACAATATGACGAAAAAGCGTCTTCAGAGACCTGACGGCACAGTTTCGAATCTATTATCGATGGAGGACGATATGTTGGTAAATTTTTTCATAAAGTTTTTAACTTCTCGGTTTGGACCATGTTGCGGTCCCTCGTAATAAAATGGCCATAGTCATATCTAAAATTTGATGATTGGCAGTCTCAAGTTGAAAGAGAATTATTTTCTATACTAACGTCTGATGTAACTGACGTATAATTAAAAAGTAAACTTCTACTGTTTTTTCTTGGGGGGGGGGGGGGGGGGTAATGTATACGAAATAAAAGGTGGTTCTATATTACCAAAATAGTGAGGTAAAAAAATTGAATGGTAGAGTCATACTCATCCTAAAATGTTGGTAGTTTTATTATAGATGACATACTCATTCTATGCTGGTAGGTTAATAGAGGACATACTCATCCTATGTTGGTATGTTTATTGCTGGTATACTCATTTAACGCTTGCTCTATTGGTAGGTCTACATTTGATATACTCATCATATGTTGGCATTATTTTTTAGTTTAATATGCAATATACTATACTTAAGCTTGGAATGCTGGTATGTTTATAGAGGACATACTTATCCTATGTTGGTAGGTTTATAGAGGACAGACTCATCCTATGTTGGTAGGTTTATAGAGGATATACTCATCCTTTGTTGGTAGGTTTATAGAGGACATACTCATCCTATGTTGGTAGGTTTATAGAGGGCATACACATCCTATGTTGGTAGGTTTATAGAGGACAAACCCATCCTTTGTTGGCATGTTTATAGAGGATATACTCATCCTATGTTGGTAGGTTTATAGAAGACATACGCATCCTTTGTTGGTAGGTTTATAGAGGACATATTCATCCTTTGTTGGTAGGTTTATAGAGGACATATTTATCCTTTGTTGGTATGTTTATAGAGGACATACTCATTTTATGTTGGTGAGTTTATAGAGGATATACTCATCCTATGTTGGTAGGTTTATAGAGAACATACGCATCCTATGTTGGTAAGTTTATAGAGAAGATACGCATCCTTTGTTGATAGGTTTATAGAAAATATACTCTTTTTATGTTGGTAGGTTTATAGAGGACATACGCATCCTATGTTGGTAAGTTTATAGAGAAGATACGCATCCTTTGTTGATAGGTTTATAGAAAATATACTCATTCTATGTTGGTAGGTTTATAGAGGACATACTCATCCTATGTTAGTAGGTTTATAGAGGATATACTCATCCGAGGTTTGTAGGTTTATAGAAGACATACGCATCCTATGTTGGTAGGTTTATAGAGGACATATTCATCCTTTGTTGGTAGGTTTATAGAGGACATATTCATCCTTTGTTGGTAGGTTTATAGGGGACATACACATCATGTGTGGGTAAATTTATAGAGGACATACTCATCCTTTATTGGTAGGTTTTTATAGGACATATTCATCGTTTTTTGTTGGTAGGTTTATGGAGGATATACTCACACTATGTTGGTAGGTTTATAGAAGACATACTCATCCTTTGTTGGTATGTTTATAGAGGACATACTCATCCTATGTTGGTTGGTTTATAGAAGACATACTCATTCTTTGTTGGTAGGTTTATAGAGGACATACTCATCCTTTGTTGGTAGGTTTATAGAGGACATACTCATCCTATGTTGGTAGGTTTCTAGAAGACATACTCATTCTTTGTTGGTAGGTTTATAGAGGACATACTCATCTTATGTTGGTAGGTTGATATAGGATATACTCAACAATTGTTCGTATGTTTAAAGAGGATATACTCATCCGTTGTTGGTAGGTTTATAGAGGACATACGCATCCTATGTTGGTTTGTTTATAGAGGACAAACTCATCCTATGTTGGTAGGTTTATAGAGGATATACTCATCCTTTGTTAGTAGGTTTATAGAGGATATACTCATCCTTTGTTGGTAGGTTAGATAGGATATACGAATCCTTTGTTGGTAAGTTTATAGAGGATATACTCATCCTATGTTGGTAGGTTTATAGAGAATATACTCATCCTATGTTGGTAGGTTTATAGAGGATATACTCATCCTATGTTAGTAGGTTTATAGAAGACATACTCATCCTTTGTTGGTAGGTTTATAGAGGACATACTCATCCTATGTTGGTAGGTTTATAGAAGACATACTCATTCTTTGTTGGTAGGTTTATAGAGGACATACTCATCTTATGTTGGTAGGTTGATAGAGGATATACTCAACAATTGTTCGTATATTTAAAGAGGATATACTCATCCGTTGTTGGTAGGTTTATAGAGGACATACGCATCCTATGTTGGTTTGTTTATAGAGGACAAACTCATCCTATGTTGGTAGGTTTATAGAGGATATACTCATCCTTTGCTAGTAGGTTTATAGAGGATATACTCATCCTTTGTTGGTAGGTTAGATAGGATATACGAATCCTTTGTTGGTAAGTTTATAGAGGATATACTCATCCTATGTTGGTAGGTTTATAGAGGATATACTCATCCTATGTTGGTAGGTTTATAGAGGATATACTCATCCTATGTTAGTAGGTTTATAGATGATATACTCATCCTTTGTTAGTAGGTTTAAATAGGATATACTCATCCTTTGTTGGTATGTTTATAGAGGACATACGCATCCTATGTTGGTAGGTTTATAGAGGACATACTCATCATATGTTGGTAGGTTTATAGAGGATATACTCATCCTATCTTGGTAGGTTGATAGAGGATATACGCATCCTATGTTGGTAGGTTTATAGAGGACATATTCATTCTTTGTTGGTAGGTTGATAGAGGATATATATATCCTATGTTGGTAGGTTTATAGAGGATATACTCGTCCTTTCTTAGTAGGTTTATAGAGGATATACTGATTCTTTGTGTTAGGTTTATTATATAGATGAACATAAGCATCCTTAGTTGGAATTGTTGATAGGTTCAAAGATATTATGCTCATCCTAAAATGTTTTTAAGATGTACAATTCAAAACTCTATAACGTTTAATCAATATCGTCATCGGCATTCATTGTTTTTTTTAATGATTTTGTTGACTTTTTTCAGAAAAAGAGTTACTTTTCTATTGTTCTCATGTTAACGGTTTTGTCGCTGTTTTTGTCGTCATTTATAGGCTACCTTGATAAATGCATATATAATTTGTTTTACCAAGGCGATTCATTGGCTAGACAAAATGGGCAGAATTTTACTACTAAAGATCAAGATAATGACCAGTATGGACACAACTGTGCTAAATCTTTTAAAGGGGCCTGGTGGTACAAAGACTGCCATTCGTCAAACTTAAATGGACAGTATCTTAGCGGAACACACACTTCTTTTGCTGATGGTGTAAACTGGGAAACTTGGAAAGGTTATCACTACTCTCTCAAAGCGACACTGATGATGATACGTAGAAAGAAATGAATATTATTCGCTAAACATCCTCTGTATCGGAGTACTGTTTTTAAGTTACATTTGTTTTTTTTTTATTTCATAACAAGTACCTGATTTTGATACTTTCTGTTAATTTGGTCGCAGATATTATTGAAAAATCACTCATTGGTTATAATTATTGTGTTAAATATGATATGATTTACAGGAACATTGGACTGCTCATGCACGGCTTCACTAAATTATATGTTTAAGTACGTTAAAAAAAAATCAAATTTCCTTTTCTTATTACTAATTATCCTTGGTTATCTAGAAACATGAATTATATCTGTACTTTAATTGTGGAAAATGAACAGTTTCTAAATCAAAAGCGCATTCAGCAATTATATTTTTGTTCTTTGGAAAAAGATAACAATTTATTTTACTGGTAACAGAATAAGCGTGGGTTAAGGAAATAAGTTTGGCTTATGTACATAATAATTACAATATGCAACAGTGTTTGGGGTAACCGAGGATCTTTACGTCATACTTAATGAACCAAAGTATACAATGAAATCAAATCAAAAGGAAAAGTTTTTTTTTAATATCTTTACTGGTTTTAACTGCATCAAATTTTCCCAACCACTGGTGCCCACATGGTCTAAACAAAATACTGCTTTGTTTAGTAAGGGCTTGGAAGAAGATGTCAAACGCTATAACCTACATATATGTATGCTTACCCTACGACGTAAAGTATCTTTACAAAGCTAACGTAAGGTAGAAAACTTTACATTATTCTGTATACGTCTTGTTTGTTTTATTTTCCATTTTTATCAATATTTATAGTTAAATGACCTTATGAATATAGATCCAACTTTGATAAGCTTTGACATCGTTTTCTCTGTTAGGCCAGGTTCTCTGTTAGTAGAAGGTCAACGTTTACAGAATTTGTCATTAATAAAGGCAAAAGTAGTATACCGCTGTTCAAAAGTCATAAATCGATAGAGAGAAAACAAATCCGGGTTACAAATTAAAACCGAGGGAAACACATCAACTATAAGAGGAAAACAACGGAACAACAGAAACACTGAAGTGCAACAAAAACAAACGCCAATGCAACATACATAGAAACGAACTATTTGATAACAACTGCCATATTCCTGACTTGGTACAGGACATTTTAAGAAAAAAATGGTGGGTTGAACCTGGTTTTATGGCTAGCCAAACCTCCCTCTTATATGGTAATGTTAAAAATACCGTTAAAATGACAACATTACGTGACAGGAATACAGTACAAATAAATGCAAGAACACTCAGGAAAGAGAAATACATAAATAAATAATATAATAGTACATTTCGACATGTAAACCACAGAATAACAACGAACACCTAAAATTAATTTACGACAGTACACAAGTACAGCATAATAGAATTATGAACTGTGCGTCACACGAATGTACACAGAAATGTCATAAAAAGTCATTATTCTGATCGCGTCCTTATTTTAGTTAGACGCACCTTACGTTTTTGCCCTAGGAAAATACAGATTTTTCGTACAAAAAAAATACAATCTCTAGCGATTGACAAAAGTTAGGCATAAAAACTACAGAGTGGGGAATTTATATCATATTCGTTTTTCTATATAAATAACAAATCAAATCCCATCATTTATCTCCTGTCATTCAGACGAATTTGCAGCCAATTTTACTGGGATATATGTGTATGTTGAGATAATGTTTGATAGAGTCTTAACATGCGGCCTCAAAATTTAATGAGTTGGATACTTTTCATGTTACCATAACCTTTTTATCATTGTATAATGAAATTATTTTTTTTCTATCCTAATAAATAAATTGAAATATATTTTTCTTATGTACATGTATTTGATATAATATTATCCTATTTATTGTGTAGCTCTGAAACTTTACTAGAAGATGTAAACCTTCCCAGATCAATTTGTCACGGTCTCGGTGACTCAATACTAATATACTAGAACATTGTATTAAAGTCATATCAAACTTCAAATTTAAAAAAAAAAGTTGAATATGTTTTATATACTTAAATAGCAAAGTTTTACTATAAAACAAGTGTACGTGAATTTTCTTGTAAAAGGATAATACAAAAAAACTTTTAACAACTGCTAAGGAAACGTTTAATTAACAAATGGGAACGCATGGAAAATACAAAAAAAAAATCTTACCTCTATCAATTCACGTTTTGTCTCGTGCTTCACATGCTCTGTGTTGATTGTCAATTAATGTTGCCGAAGTTTAACGCATCGCGACATTGATAAACATATTCAACTTTTTTTTAAATATAGGCGTTATAGATTCGTTATAAACATAAATAAAAACGTGCATTCACAACTTAGTTTAGTATATATGAATGCATTGGTTCAATAATTTCGATAATAATAAAATTACAAGAAACTAGTTTCATATGACTTTAAACTGCCGAGCATTGAGTATCCTTGGGGACATGCTGTCTATAAGCAGTGTCATTGATCCAATATGAGTAGCGTAAAAATGCCATACACTTTATGCATATTGCAATGGTTTTTTCCTGGATTGATATGGCACGTTCTTGGCTAAACACTTGTAAAGCAATATCAAAATTTAAGCAGTGCAAGCTAAATTGATATTCAAAAAGTCCTTAGAAAATGCCCAAAACACTCCTGGTATATTCTTAACGACATTTTTGGGGAAAAATTACATTTGAAAAAAACCTCGAAAGATATGTCGAAGTTAAAAGTAACAACAACCAACACTTCTAAAAGTGACTTGCTTATCATACGTTTTGCTCATCAATGAAGACCGTACGGCGACTTGCAGTTTGTTTACATGCTCATTCGTTGTTCGATGGTTGATAATGACAATCACATAAAATCTCCTTATTTCCATATCGGAACAAGGACAGCAGTATTTGGGCAATTAAGGTACTTTTATCATACCAGTCTTCACAGATAACCAAGTCAGTTTTAGCAAAATAAAAAGACAAGAAAAAAAAACTTTAAAAAAACTGATAAAACACAGATAAAGATACATATTAAGATGAATTTTGAAAAGAAAGGGACACCAGAAATGTTCATATCTCCAGAGTCTGTCTTTAGTAATGCCAGTATCTGTCTACAGTAAATTTTCATACTGTAGTTTTGTTCGATAGCAAATTTTCATATATATCGTTAGTTTCTGTCTAAGGTAAATCATACTACCGTTAGTGTGTATCTACACGGTAAATACTTTTATTTCTTATGAAGCAAAAGAATCTTGTAATCTAATTGGTTGATTATACGGGTGTAAATCGCAAAAGTGTTTTTGCCAAAATTAAAAAAAAAATGTGTCCCTAAATTGTTTTTTGTTTCTTATTCTCGAAAAATAATTTTTTCGAAAATTCCCTCAAAAAATAAAAAAGGTAGTATTTGACAAAACACAGCAACATCGGTGTTTTTCAATTTTACACCCCGGTATAAAAACGAGTAAAGGAACGCTTTATACATCTGTGTCAAAAATGCATACACCCTTCGGCTGCGCCTCGGGGTGTATCAATTATCAACAACGGTGTAAAATTCTGTTCACCCCTGACAACACCAAAATAACTAATAATACCGCCAATGTATGTCTACAGTGAATTCTCATATCGCCAGTGTCAGTCTACAGTAAAATAGCATATCGCCATGCAGTGTCTGTCTACACTAAATTCTCATATCGCCACTGTCTGTCTTCAGTAAGTTCTATCATCTCTTGTGTCCATCTACAATAAATTCTTAGGCAAAGTCTTCTCTTGCCTTTATGTATTGATATTTAGATTGGCTTCCACGTAGGGAGTGATTGTTTGATTTTTATGGGGAAAAGGGAAAAGGGGAAAGGGGGTGTTAAAGAAGAAAACTCTAATCTTGCATTTAAAGGCCCCTGGATGACAAAATTTAAAACAATTCAAAAAAGGAAATCATAAACTTGGTTTATACTAAAACAATAAACATAAAAAGAGTTAAAGCAAACAGCAACCAACAACCAATCACTTGATTAAGGTTTATTATTTTGGACAGGCAACACTCACAAACAGGTTTAACCCCGCCACATTCTTTATGTGCTTGTCCCAAGTCAGGGGCCTGTAGTTCAGTGGTTGTCGTTGGTTCATCTCTGTCATATTTGTTTTCGTATATTGTTTTGTTATACACTAGGCCGTTAGTTTTCTCAATTGAATTGTTTCATATTTTTTTATGTCGGGGCCTTTTATAGCCGACTATAAGGTGTGGGATTTTTTCATTATTGAAGGCCGTACGGTTGAATATACATTTGTGCTTACATCCACTTCATTTAACTTTGGTGGATAGTTGTCTCATTAGCATTCATACTACATCTCCTTATTTTAATATATATAAAGAATATAGCGCTGCTAATTCCGTTAGTGAGTGCTCAACCTTCCTCCCCGTACATGTACAACATAGAGCAAACTGTAAAAGTCATTTGAAAAGGACTTGACTCATCAGATGTGTAATAAACACATTAAAAAACCAAAAACACAATTAACACAACTTTGACAAAAAACAACGTACTCTTCTGCTCATAGTTACTGTAAGATATTATCCCAGACTGAAATATCAATCAGTACATCTCAAATGGATTTAAAGTGAAAAGACGTCTTAAGCAGACGAGTCTCAAAAACGTAATTGTAGAGCCAAATATAGATATTGACAGGATGTTAACAACGGGATAGCAAGAATCTCAATCCACGTGAAAATTTTCACGTGAGTTTTACGTAAAAGCTCGTTGGAGGTGAATTTCAAATGAAATTTTCACGTGAATATTTATATCACAGGTATATTTTAAGTTCTTCCAGTCTCAGTGTCATGATAAACTTCGGACTGAGACTGGAAGAACTTAAAATATATCTGACTCAACAGTGTTACCAAAAACAACTAATTGATGATGGTATAAAAAAGGCAAAACGTTTGTCCATACAGGAACTTAGAACCCCGAAAAGAAACCAAACGGAAAATAAAATGATTCCCTTTGTATGCACATACGACCCAAAATTACCAAACGTATATAGTTTTATGCGATCAAATCTCCCGTTACTACACCAAAGCGAGAGAATGAAACAACTATCTCAAAAAACTTAATATACAGTCGCCGGCAATCTAAAAACCTAAAAAAAAAAAACACTTGTTGACACGCGCCAAATTCGACTCAATTCAGGATAAATATTCAGTAAAAGAGTGTGGGGATACTAGATGTGGTATCTGCTCAAAAGGATACAATTATTTAGAGACCGGCAATATGAAACGTTTCCTAAATGGAAAAACCTTCTATATAAATGCAAATATGACATGCAAGTCATCCAATTTTATTTATAGCATAACTAGTGTGAATTACCAAAAATTATATATAGGGCAAACCGATAACACTCTTTGTGAACGAGTACGTGTCCACATAGAACCATCAAACACCCACTATATCGGAACATTCCATTAAGTGAACATTTGGATCGATGTGGAGAAGGAAAATTTAAAATAATACCTTTCTATAAATGCAATAGAACAGGTGATACCTTCCGGGAAGTTTAAACCGACGTTAAATGCTAAACAAAAAGCAAATATATATATGCGCTGGACACAGTGCAGGCGGAGTTAATTGCGACGATGTCACAGAAGCAAGGGTTCGAATCCCACTGAGGGAGGAACATAGATCTAACATTGTTGGGCTGAATTTGAGACGAATCATATATATATATAAAGAAATATAGATCTTGTACCAAGCAGCAATTTCGAGAGTTACGACAAAGCACCTTACATATATCAAAATTATATTTGTTTAATATTCACATTACTTGTGTATGATCACGCCATGGACGTGGGGAAAATGTTAACACACTAGGAAATAAGTAGTCCAGTGAGTGCTCGTCTGTTAACGGGGAGTTTGGATACAATATCGTAGGTTGAGGGGGGAAATATGTTTCCTCATCATATTCGTTGTCATATTCGTCGGAAAATGTATCATCTTGGTTATCAGCTGAATTATTTGAGTTTAGTCCAAACTGGAGTGTAGTTTGCTTCAAATTAGATCTTTGACGGTTCTTTTTGTCACCTTTCTGACGTTTTTTATTTACTCTAGGTGCATACTTTTCTTTTAAGAGGTCGCAGTCATTCTTTTTTCCCAATATTACCTGAGCTGGTTTTTCATTCAAGTGACGCATGTCAGCAATACTTCCTTCTACTTCATCCGAGTTCATCACGCTGTCTATATGTGCAAACAGTGCAAATTCAAAATCCTCCATTATGCTTTCGTCACTGTTGCTATTAGAATTAACCGATTCGCTAACTTTGTCAGTTTTAAGGCTGTCTTTTAACTCTCCCTTTCCTGTAAACTCCAAATCAATAACGTTTGAAAGTTGACGTAAATGCTTGTTCGGAATTCCGCGTGTCTTTATCTTCTTTGGTTTTTCGGTGAATCCTTTTCTTGAACCTTTTTTGCATTTTTCAATCGCGATTTCTCCATCCGTTCGGTAATGCGTCCCTCTGTCGAACGGTCCCACTGGATTAATGTCAAACTCAAATATTTTTTCCTCCTTCTTTCTCAAAAATAAGTGATTGTTTTCGTGTTCATATAGTTTAGGCACATTTTCTGTGGTGTCTCCACATCCATGTGCATGATCTAATCCTACAACTTTCTTATTCACTGCAGAATTTGTTGGTTTTCGGCTTTTTTCAATAGCACGTATTTGTTTCGTTTCATCATTTGTTTCGTTGGCATGACTTTTTATTTGTTTATGGTGCTTCTCAAAGATTTCCGTTCTGATTACATTTAATTCTGGAATTTGGGTGGGAAGCTTCGGTTCAATTTTCCTCTCATCATTATTACCTTCATCTTCAAGTGCTTTTTGCGCATAGAGCATGAATGGTTTTGCTATTGAAATTATATAGATTCTAAGCGAATCCTTAAATGTGTCTTCTTTATGCGGCAAAGGCCCCATTTCTTGTTCAAATTTTGCTGAACATGAATCCACTTGTTGTCTGCATATCGCTATCACCTTGCTTTTGTGTTTAGAAACGTCAAAATTAGGCAGTTCACGTTTTAATTTTTTTTTAATTGTTTCTGCAAATCCACTTCTTCCTAGAACACCTAAGACTGCTAGTCGAATCGATGAAATCTGAGCGGACACAAGTTCCTCATGCTTTTTCTTTTTATTTAGTTCATCCTCTTCTTTAGTAGCAGAAACTACATTTATGAAATTGTTTCCGTATCTGACAGTAGTTTTTCTGTTTATCCAAAATTCTGGTCGAATATCTGTTTGACATGATTTATCAGTAGTATTTTCATTTTCAACTACTGATATCATTTGTTTCTCGTTTACAATCAAACTCGTTTTTCGCCTACAAATATGTCGTTGTAATGTCTTAGCTCTCTGATGTATTTTCCATAAAACAGGATTTGCCGAAATAAGGGATTCCCCACTTACCAAATCTTCATACCAGTGTATTGTTGTCCATGTGCAGTTTTGTTCAAAAAAGGCCTTAACCTTTTCTTCTGCGTTCATTGTAAATTCGTCCTGTTTTATTTTTTCCGTTGTCCATGATTTTGTGGCATTTTTTCGTCGCGCAATTTTTAATTTTCTTTTCAGTTTCTCGTGCAATGATATGTTTCCTTTTTCGGACAACTTATCGTGTTTCTTTGTTCCACATGGTGACATCATTCTCATTTCTGTGGCATTTTGCAATTTTTCGTTTGTTAACCATTGATCCTGCTGTAGACCATTTGAAGTTTCTTTCTTGCTTTTAATTTTTGTGTTTTGCTTTGGTGATTGATTGTCTTTGCTGCTTCTCAGAGTTATAAATTTGTCATAAACACTTGCCTTAATTTTTCTTGTTTCTGTGTTTTGTGTTTTCATTTCTTCTTTGCTATTTTTCGTGTCATCACATGTTCGTACATCCATGTTTGACGATGTTATTTCAGGCAATTTTTCATTTTCGTTACTTGTTTTTCGTCTACTTTCTTTCGTACTGGAATTTCCCATCGTGTAAATGTCTTTCAGGACTACTCGGCATCAAGAGTATCCACTTATTATCTATCATATAACTATATCGAATGTTAGTTCATCGGTTTGCAAACAAGACAGGACATTTTCTAAATAACGTTGTAATCTCATTGACGTCATGTGTCTTTTTTCCGGGAAAGCGCATCAAAAGTTTTTGAAACAAGGAGTAGATTTGGCATTTGGCTAAAGATGATCGGCATAGTACACATGAAATCTAGACATACATTTTTCATTGAAATATAAAAAAAAAAAAAAAAAAAATCAACATAAAAAACGTTATGACAAAGAATTAAAAATCATCTAAAATATTTAAAAAAAAAACTTGAATGTCTTTTACCTCTATCCGGTGTTCTTTTTTCCCCGTTTTTTATAACAAAATGAAAGTTCATGCCATCGATTATTTCTTAGAATGCCAACTACATTACAACCAAAGAATATCTCTGGGTAATGATCTTATAAATATGAACATACACATTGATATTGAAATGCTATTGTTTGGAAAAGATGCATATAATTACGAGACTAACTCTAAAATTGTTGATAGAGTTCGTTGTTTTATTAAACAGTCAAACATATTTTAACATTCCAAGTCTTGTTTTGTCTTTTCTTTCTTTCTTTCTTGTTTCCTTTTTTGTTTTTGTTTAAGTTTTTTTCCTCTTCTGCCATGCCAACGTGTGACTCCTTCCTGTGTTTTCTATAACTAAAGCTTTATTATGTATGTCTTAGCTTTCATCTTGTATATGTAAGGAGAGGACTCGGTAATATAAGTTATAATAACGTGTTTCAAATCCTATTACTTGATTATTGCAATAAAATATTATTAAATTAAAATCATTGTCTTTTTAATTTGTGCATTAAGAGGGACTTTTGCTAAAACCAAACAGTCTATCAATTTTAAACAAATACAGATGTTTTCAAATTATGCTAAGTGAAATACTATAGTAAATTTTCGGTATATTTTCTTAAATTATGGTGAATAACTGGCCTACATTGTGTAATGATAAAGTTGCAAGTAATTTTCTCACGATGCATACGAATACATGTACAGTTAATTAATTATTTTCCAATGTTTGATTATTGCGAAAATTGCAACGGGAAAGGTTCCGCAAAACTAAAAACTCGCATTTGTGTAAAACTTTTGTGAAATATACAAGTAAAGTAATATCTCTGCTAATCAGTGACGCGACCGGTATTATCACTCAGTAGAAAAGACTGAATGTCTGGCATGAAACAATTAGTGAAAAGTGGAATGGGAAATACTTTCAGTGCTGTTTTTTTTTTGTATGGTCTTTGGAAAGATATTTCATTTTAGGCTGAGTAGTGGTAAACGGTATGACAATCAGAGTTTCAAAGGCCTAGGACTGAATAGTATACTAACACTATAATATGTCCCAGCAAAGACTGACCTATTTTACTTTCAATATTTATTAATTTGAAAGAAAAAAAAATTGTTGATGCAAAACTAGTTTATCGAGAAAGTGGGTCAATCCAGTGGGTGCGTCAACTTGATTAAAATTCATCATCTAAGTTTGCATTAAAAAAGGGAGTGGGTCACCTTCTCTTAATCTTATTGTTAAATTATATCGATTTACCCTGAAAACATTAGGTTTATAGGGAATCTTTCTTCCCATTCACAATAAACTCAAAGTTAAAGGTGCGTCACAGAAGCCGACAGCACTGTATGTATGATTGGAAAAGGTAAGGGACAGAGCAGGAAATCAAATACTGTTTTTAGAGTCCGCAACATTTTCTATTCGGAAAACTGTGGAAAATACACGAAATGTTCCGATAATTAGCAGCTTTGCTTTTTTTGGTTTTTAAGACTTTCCAACTTGCCAACTGAAATCTCTTGCAAAAGAAATTGATATGTCGTTACGACATCAACATAGAAAAAGAAGACCACTCTATGCTCTATTACAATCAAGACAACTTGGTGACAACGTTAAAGAAGGAGATTCGAACAGAACATGCTCGTCTCTATTTTCAAACTTTCAATCCATTTATACTTGGGATCCCACAAAATCAGATAGTTGTCATCATGGTGGAATTTTTAACTTTGATTTTTCTCCGAATGGGTCAGAATCTTTTATTTTCATGCTTTAGATATAATCAGTATAAAAACATGTTTACAGTACGTCACACCTGTCAACAGGTCGTATTATCTACCTCTACATAATACTTCTTAACTTCAATATGTTGAAGATTACAAGAAGGCACATACTAGGGAAATTATTTTTAAATCTGAACATATTTGCAATAATTTCAAAACATTTTTGTAGTTGAATTTTTTGTATAGATAAAAACATGATTTTGATCTAGCAATATATATATGTGATTTTGCACCAGACTTAAATGCTTCTAAGCCTGGGCTACAGGCTACTTGGTATGGTAAGGAATTCCACAATGTACACTGAGACTACTATACTGTGATATAGTAGTCTCAACTGTAAAAGAAAAAAAGTGTAGGTCAGCTAGGACCAGGCAAGGATTTGTATCTCACTATACAAATCCTTGGCCCAGGTCAGCTATTTATTATTATTTTTATTTTGCAAATAGACTTAGTAGAGAACAAACTTTGAGACCCAATTTTACTATGAAATTTTCAGACAGCCAGAAATGTTTGCATATACAAATTCATATGTTTTTTAAAAATATTTTCTAATACTCCATTCAATTCAAAGCTTTATTTAAAGTTCGTTACATATATATAACATTACAAAGATAATAAAATTGAGAATGGAAATGGGGAATGTGTCAAAGAGACAACCCGACCAAAGCGCAGAAAAAAGCTGTAAGAGCTTTTGAAACTGACATAGATACTACACTAAAATACACATTTCACACATAAGACAATACATGCACAATAATGCAGGGGTTCAAATCAGAGGTCCGTGACCTTCCATTTATGGGTTCCGACCTTCCCACCGGAAGTTAGTTACACCTAACAGACTTTCAAATTTTTGCAGGTTAAAAAAGTTACAAAAGCATTTCCAATAAAAAATATAAAAATACTAGTATAAAAATAATCGTAAAATATGCAACTTTACTGAACAATGCTGAAAGGAAACTTATGTGTTTGCTTAAATTTTTCACAATTGATTTGATGTGTAGTCACTTGACTGGTCGTCATAGATGATACCGGGAAACTTGAGAATATATTATTAAGACATAACTAGTAAATATTATGAGTCTGTTTGGTGTTAGGGTGACCTCTTCCAAAAGAAAACCAGATGAAACGGGTGATACAGCTGTGGTAATTGATGAAACGGCTTAACGCAGCCTGAAAGACAGGATCTGACTAAAGACCAAAAATATGACAGGGAAAAACAAGAACGTAAATTTTTCCCAAACACAGTGAAAGGGAAAGTGCACTGGATTGTTAGACAAAAAAACTTAAAACTTGACCCCTTAAAAAATCAGGATGAAAAATTAGCACCCAGTATCTATATATCTTGCCAAAAAAGTAGTTAAAAGAAACTGACCCCAAGTTTGAAAACGAAGTTGAGCTGTTATCTGACACAAAGTTAGGCCAGTGTGTTCTTAAGAGCATACGATACAGTTTTGATCCCACAGTGATTTTTTTACGAAAATTTGCATACAAGCTATTTTTCACCTAGTCAATGCAAATATGTAATAAAAAATATACCTTCATGTGCTACTTTAAGAGATAAATGGGGTCGAAGTTTTAGACATTTACTCAAAATTTCGTTTTTTGGAACATTTCTATCCTTTGGATAGACATACCTAACTTTTTTGTTTCAAAAGATAAACACAATAGGATTTTTGTAAAAACATTTGGAAAATCTCTTTTTCATAAGTATGCTCTAAATTTGTATAACAATTCTTTGGAAATAATTAATTTTTATCAAAGTTTCAGGTTTTTAGGAAAAAAACGGATTTTTTTGCTGTATACTTATCTAATTTAAAAAAATCTCATCGGTGACTTTTTCATAAAAATTGGTACAAATAATCTCCATATGTAATCAATCCTAATGTCATTTTAAGAAAGAGGGGTCCATGAACTCGTTTTCAAGTTAAATCGGTCTGAATGATAAAAATCAGTCGAAAAATGCATCTTTTCCTGATATGTCGCAGTTTGACGTCGCGAAAAATAACATTTTACGTTGGCAACGTCATTACCTCCCCTGTAACTGTATCGTATGCCCTTAATCAGAAATTGAAACCAAAGCAATTAAAAAGGTACAAAGTGTTATGTAACACAGCGTAAAGTGTTGGAGAAAAGGGGAAGCCTTTTTCTTACTGAATTTATTTACGAAATTCAGAAAAAAATGAGGTTAATGTAGTAAGATATGATGAGTGCTTTGGATCGGTAAGCATTTTCTGTTTTTATAAATTGAATTTTCAATAAAATAAGACCTTCTAAGAATAAAGGAGGACCTTTAAGAATATTTGATCAAAGGTCCTGGACCTTCCATTGCCTAGAGTAAATTTGAACCCCTGAATATAGATAAAAACATACATTTTAGAGCCAAAACATATGTGCATAGATAAATGTCATATACTAGTCATTTCAAGCATTTTTAAAGTGTGCACCACATTTTTTATGTTATTTCGAATAGACAGAACAAATATTACAGTCCTTTCTTATAATTTAATTCTAAATTCCATTTTAAACCATGAAAAACCGTTGATGACGTCACAGTCACATGACAAAATTATGTCTATGAGCATGATGAGCTGATAAACAAAACAACGTCAGCCAATCAGAAGAAGCGCTACATCCAAAATTAAATTATATATCTTTAATTTTAATAATGTCATGTAAGTAAGAGAGGCTCTCTTTATGCAAGGTTTTAAATGCCTCAATTGGCATTGTTCTTAGTCTTCTTGCTTTTAAAGTTGACTAGTTTAGATCTTATTAAAAGCTCATCATATGTTCTAGTATGGTCATTACGAATAAATCTTAAGGCTCTTTCTTGTATTTTTTCTACTTTATTTGCGTTGGCTTGACTGCAAAAATGCCATGAGAGAGGACAGAAGTTAAAATTTGATAATATAAAGTTAATTTTCCTAATTTGTTTGAATAATTTCCTAATCCTTTTAGAACATTTAACTGCCTTGAGGCTATTTAACATATGTTGGAAATATGAGAATTAAAATTTGGTTCAAAATCAATTGTTACACCGATTAGTTTTACTTCATCTTCACATTTAGTTTTATTCCCTGCAAAATTCATAATAATATTTTTATCCTCTTTTTTTTCCCCGAAAGCTAAGGCTTGAAATTTATCTGGATTTGCCTTCATTTGATTGCATGAAAACGGAAAACCACTCAATCAATGCTCTACTGTGTGTTTCTAATGCTACAATCACCTTTTCTAGGTTGTGAACGTTATAATTGTAAAGTATGGTGTTTGTAGTGAAATGAAAGATGTCATTAAGGAAGATGATAAAGACTACTGGCCCCAGAATGAATCCTTGGGTACTCCTTTATAAATATTTTGCCAATCACTTAGTGCTGTTCCTACAATATATGCTGTTTTCACAATATATGCAAATGTAATGATGGAATGAATTACAATTCTAGCAAAGATGACAATGACCCAATTTTTGTTTTTAAATATATCAGAATATTTCTCCAGATCCTTCACTACAGACAGTATAAAAATTAATCTACAAACTGAACAACACAAAATTTGATGAACCAGAATTTCCGAAACATTGGATTTACATTACTTGAAATTGGGGTACTTTATGTAAACAATGGGGATTTTGTTACATTCTAGAGGGAATTCAAAAATTTAGTGAACAGGTACCATTAAAACTGGGTTCATGAAAAAGCCTCTTGAAATTCATACAATTTAGGTAAACCCTGATATCTCTTAAAAGCGTTTGTCAGTTGGCCATTAAACACATGTTTGCTAACAATTCAATACATCAATTTTAAGTTGGTGTGTGTAATAGCAGAAATTTTGTTTTCACAACAGTAAAGCACTTGACATCACAGATTGAAACAATTATTTTGCCAACATCGTTAAGTAAAATGACACACACTTGAGATCAGTTGTAGTGGAACTTGAAAGTGGTTTGATTGAAAATGATGAGGTAAATACACATACCATCACATGACTTATTCTCTCCAAATTAATGACAAAAAAAGGACAAAAAGTCAGAAAAGTATTGTTCATATATGCATTTTTTTGTACATTATTCAAAAGTTCTATCTTAGGGAAAAATGTAAAATATTCCAAACTTTTTTAAATTCTGCTTTATACATCATGTACATGTACAATAGAAAAGTATTTGAAATTCATTCCTGATTTATTTAGCTTTGTACATACATGTTATGTACTGTATAACAGAGATACCTTTGTATTTTAGTTCAGAAGTTTTTTGATAGGCTAGATGCTAAGGCATTTACTACTCTGTGTATAACAATAGTTACAGAATACCCATTACAGGTTTAATTCCTATGTGCCTTTATTGTGGAATGTTATTTTGAAAGAAACATTTTAAGACATACATGTAATATAAATATGCATATGGTGTATATATTTTTTTTCTTTGCAGGTCTCTACTAGCTGCAGCATGTGAAGGTCACAGCGTCCTGATGTTTGATCCATTCACACATAAATTAGTCAAAGAAGTTAACAAGGCTCACGATGATTGTGTAAACTGTGTTAGGTATTTAACTACCGTAGATAGTAATGATACTATTAGAGGGTTGTACTGCTGCTGGTTGACTATTAGTACCCTTGGGTATCATCAGCTCAAAAGTCAGTGTTTCGGTACTGGCATACTTTTATGAGTTGTCTGTTTATGAATTTGTAAATTATTAAGAAACTTAGGTTCCAACTCCATCAGGCTTATACACTGGTAGCTTTCAAATATTTCCTTTGAGAGCATTCACGATGAAGGTAAATCAAGAAAAGCGCTTCAGATACATGAAATTTATAAAATGTTATTTTCATTTTTGTGAAGCCTGAAACATTCCCTTTTTGATGGCAGCGTCAAAACTTCAGTTCAGTATGTGGTTAAAGTTTTTTTTCAGACATCAATATCTTTGTTAAACCTTCATGGAATGTTATGAAATTTGGACAGAAGATTTTTATAACCAAAAGACAGTTATATAATCCAGCAAAATTTTGAAATATATTTTTTAAAATTTTTTAGTATTTCATGGATAAATGGACTTAGTTTTTTATAGTTAACATTTAGATGAAGTCTGTGGTTAAACCAAAACTTAATCTTATTATATGATAAACAAATGATTTGAGTGACGAGTACGGAGTAGACAAGAAAACTTATTGGTCGTCTCACTGTCTGTATCACTCTGCTCAGCTCTTAATAAAATTGCATATCACGGCTTTGTGACATCAAATACTTTGACCGGGGCTTAATAACTTTGACCCGGACATATCACCGACATCATAATGAATGAACCGATGTTGATAAGTTTGACCAGGTTTGCTGGTGAAACAAAGAAAACACTTATTTCTATCATGCAATATACAACTTGATAAATCAATTATCTGGTTGTCTGCATATTTATATTGTAAATTATCAGCTGCTTGACACATTATGAAGCCTTTTTGAACTCTTTCGCTGCACTCACTTGAAAAAAAGCTTCATATTGTGACTCGCAGCTGATATTTTACAATATCAATATGCAGACAACCTGATAATCAGTACATATTGCTGCCCTACTATCTTAGGAGAGGCATATAACAGCCAGTAGAATAACTGATAGTATTTAATATGGAAACAGACACATTCAAATTATGTTCAATTGGAAGGAAGGCTAAACTTTGATACAGTACCCATTTATTTTATTTTTATTGAATGGAAGTCACATTATTAAATATCCTGTATCTGTATGAGTCATCATGACCTACAGTTTTATGCATCTACTTTTAATCAGCTTGTCTTAAATTTTCATCTGCGTGTAAGGTAATTCATCTATGTATTACAGACACATTACCACACTTCTATTTGTATATTATGAATCAAAGCACACTACCTAGTTAAAAAATAGTGAATTAATTTCAAAATTGTTATTTTAGATTTTTAGATTCTAGGCTGCTTGCAACATGTTCTGATGATAATAATGTGGCATTATGGGATATTCGTTACTTAAAAACCAGACTTCATCTTTTATGTGGTCATACTAACTGGGTTAAAAACATTGAATATGCATCAGATTGTGGTAAACTTGTTACGTCTGGATTTGATGGAAATATTTTTACCTGGGACATTAACAGGTAAGCTCAATAATTCATTTGAAGGTTCATTGTGTATATCTTTTACAAGAAATTTTAATTATTTTTATATTGTTCATATTAGTTTCTTGTATAAAATCCTCAGTTGTTCATTAAAAAAAAAATATGTAGCAGCAATAAGTTGTAAGATGTCATGTTTTGATTTGAATGTGTCAAGCAAAGATTTTAATTTGTGATATCAGACTACATTTTGTATCTTTGTAATTGATAAATGTGGCACTTGATTGATTTTATATCAGCTCCTCCTTACTTCTATTGACACTGCATGAATTTTGTCTGTCTTTGACAAAGTTATGATGGTGAGACTTAGATATATGGATTCCCTCAGGGATGGCTTTGTCAACAATTTGGTAAAGTTTGTGATAATGTCAATTTCAGGGGAACCACTAATGGTAGATCAAGGATATTAGGTATGCAGTTGTACATGTATATAAATTGCACAATTCTTTTCTATGGAAATTATATCCAGCGGCTCATCTCATTCCATGAAGATTTATGTCCCTGCACCGTCACACATTGTCCATTGACTAAAACTTTTGCATTGATTACATGTTAGTGTTGCCATTTAAATTGTTCAATATTTGCATTATTCTGTCAAAATTTCATACAGGTGAGGTATATTTCTATATGAATAGTTTATTATCTTCTTGATAAAAACTGAAATAAAATTAGGACCACTTATTCAGATAAACATTTGAGATTCACAACATTTAATGGTTAACAAAATTTTGTTGATTATACTTAGCCTTGAAAATGGCCCAGAATGAAGCATGTTTAAGTATTGTATAGCTGGGCATAATATTGCAAGGAAAGGTTGATAGATTGATTTAAGAGAGTGTGATTTGGACTTCATTCATAGGTAATGAACCAGTTTCCTGTTGTCCTATTAAAATAAGCCCAGAAAGAAATGCTAGTTTGTGAAATTATTATGTTGGCCATTTGGGTTCATACACTTTTATTTGAAATTGATATTTTCACTTCTGAGCAGTGTTATTTGTAAGCATGATATTATTGCTAAATAATCAGTATGGTACTATAAAGACTTTACTTTTATTTCAGTTACTGTGATGGTGCTATTCAGGGACAAAAAGTGTTTTCACATAAAATGTTGATGAGATCGAAACTGTCACCAGACGGTTCAAAACTTATAGTTTCAACACAGGAAGGCAAAATTATTCTGATTAACAATCTGGATCTGAATCATCTTGCTGAAGACATGAAAGAATTTTTACCTCAAAGACTCTTTACACGTAGAGTTCAACGGGATAGTTCTATCAGGAATAGAAAACAAAGGAATGATTTTGAGATGATTAATGATTGGCCAATGGGCAACGGTGCTGGTGACATAGCCTCTATACAGGTACATAATTCAAATTGCTAAATGTGCTTTTATGCAACAACATGTGTATTTTATTCTGATGTCCTTATTATATTGAGTACCTGTCAATATACATTTAGTGTGCACTTTTAAAATAAGGATTTAATTTTTTAATTACATCCACACATATTTTTGGAAATACATTCTAAAAAGAACAAAAATGAACTTTCTACAAAAGGGCATATGGAATACTGCTTGATGTCATTTCAGTGTTCTATCACTCCAATGATGATTTGTATAATAAGTAAAATTTTTCTTGATTTCATTTTAATTTTGAATGATGATTTAACTGTTTCATTAGCTAGTCCCTGGTACCTGAATTTACAATTTCTTTTTTTGAATAAATCAAAGTTTACCAGAATTGCCAAACATGTTGGAAATGTTTGATATTTTCCTCTAAAAGACATAGTAAACTTTAAAGGATATTTTTTATTTGTTATCTGGATAAACATGGCTGTTTACTGAAAACAAGCTAGGTAAAAAGGTAAGACAATTTTTTTATTTTATTGGAATTGGTAGTTTATGAAAAACTATTTAGAAAGAATTGACACCAGAACAATATGCTTTGGATCTAAACCTTTGAGTGATATGCATGAATACTTTTTGTTTGTTTGTTTGAAAAAACCAATGACAGTGTTGTTTTTGTCCAAGGGTCTTAAATCGTAAATGCTTGAATGGCGAAGTAATATGTTTGAATAGCAAATTTATGGCATTAAGTGTTACCCTTGACCGTCTGTCTTTCTGTCTGTCTTTCTGTCTGTCTTTCAGTTCGTCTGCAAATTTTTCAGTTTCCACACTTTAACTTAAGTTTGTCTGATCCAAATTTTACTAAACTCATACACAATGCTAAGAATTACAACAAGCAGAACGAGTTCAAATTTGGGAAGTGAGTCATTTACTGTTCTGCCCCTTTTTAACTAGGAAAATTGCAAAGTTTGAGTGGAGACATTGGTGTCCTTAGAAACATTCTTCTTTTAATTCAATAAAAAACAAGGGCAATTTTGGTTTTTGTCCAAAATAATGGCAGAAGATAACTAAGGGACAATTTAAAAAAACCTCATAAGTCAAAGAAAAACAGGCAGTACAAGAAAAATAGACAATATCATCACCAAAAAAAAACCAGCAACAAAGAGAAAAATAGCAGTGATAGGAAACACAAAACTCTGAAATATTGTATCAATTAGGAGATATACACTTCAAATGCAGGCGCTGCACGAATGCTACTACATAAAACATTAAGCATTGACTTATCACATGGAATTGTAACACCAATGAAGTTCTATTTGTGAAGACAAGAAATGCAATTTTTAGTTTAGTCATCAAAATTGTCATGAAAATATGTTTATATATGTAATATACTATATATTTATTTGATAGATTCACCCTCAGGGATGGTGTGTTTTGTCACGTAATGTAAGCAGAGATTACAAGTCGGAGGTAAAATATATAATTATAGAACACTCTTGTACATTGTACAATTCAACTAAACCTGTATAAACCAAAGGTCTGGATATTTTTTGATTTTTGTTGTTGTTTGACTCTTTGGTCACTCTAAACATAAAAGAATCCATAAAGACAAATTGTTCTATGATATGAACTCCGTTAAAAAGTTTGAATGATTGGCCAATTGGCAAAGGTGGTGGTGACATAGCCTCTATACAGGTACATAATTCAAATTAATAAATGTGCTTTTATGCAACTTGATGTGTCTGGAACATTTGTCTTTCAAATACAACTCAAACAGGGGGATTGTAATGAAGTAATGTGATTAAATTTAAAGAGTTTAATTAGCTATCATGCCAGCGCATTACCTCTTCATTTGCTTAAAAAAGAAGCTGTGTTATGAATGCCAATGAAACATCTGTCCACTAGAGACTACTGTACGGCCTTAATTACAGTATAGAATAAAACAATACTTTATGAATTTCATGTCTGAAACGCTTTTCTGGATTTATCTTCATCAGGAAAGCTCAAAGCTGAAAATTTGAAAGTCAGGGATGTATAAGAACAAAAAGTTGACATTGTTTAATGAACAATAATGCTTACAAAAGTAAGGTAGGAGGGATGTTTGGAACAATCTGAAATAAAATTCTGTCATATAGAGTTGTAGAATAAATCCTGCAGTGACCAACAATATCATTATGAAAAATTATTGGCATACAGTCCATACTGAATGTTATATTATTTATTCAGTTATGACTTTTGATATAACAGAACAACATAGGGATCCTATTGTTGAAATTTTTGTCTGTTCATCAGTCCAGTGGAAAACATGGATCTTGTTATTGGGTTTGTCTGTCCATCAGTACAATGGACAACATAGAGCTTTTTGTCTGTTCATCAGTCCAACTAGCAACATAAAAATAAAGGGCTCCTGTTGTTGGGTTTTTTATCTGATCGTCAGTTCAATGGACAACATAATGATTCTGTTTTGTTAGGCTTTTTATCTGTTCATCAGTTTAATAGACAAACTAGGGATCCTATTCTTGGCCTTTTGTCTGTTCATCAGTTCAATGGACAAACTAGGGATCCTGTTGTTGTACTTTTTGTCTGTTCATCAGTACTATACACAAAATAGAGGTCTTGTTTCATTGTTGTTTTAAACTTGTCTATATAAGTGGAAATAGCTCAGAAAATTAAATTTTATAAAGGAATGTATAGGAAATTTACTTATTTTGTTTTGTGACCAGTTGACCCCAATTCTACTTTTTTATTTTGTGAATTAGTATTAGAAGATCCATCTTGGCTTACATGGCTAAAAATAGAACATAGGGGTAAAATGCAAGTTTGGTCTATTATCTTGAAAACCACTAGTACTATGAATGGAGAAAATATTTCAGTGTCAAAAATGTTCACAATGATGAGATCTACATATTGTCTATTTACTCTTATATGAGTTATTGCCCTTAAATGACATTTTTTATAAAATTTTTGCGTTTTTGCCTCATATCTGAAAAGCTATTATGGATAGATGGAAACTTGAATAGCAAAACTGATCAGCAGGACAAGATCTACTAATAAGTTAACAGTCTTGAAATCCACTGACGACTCCTTATTGGAGTTATTGCCCTTTGTTAATGATTTTTACCATTTTTGGCGTTTTTGCCTACTATCTGAAAAACTATTTTAGATAGATAGAAACACAGATAAGCAAAAATGATCAGCAAGACTTGAATTACAAATAAGTCAAATAGTCGAAATCATCAGTCGCTCCTTGTAGGAGAACTTGCTTTTTAATGATGATTTTTACCAAAATTTTATATTTTTGCCTACAATCTTGAAAACTATAAAAGATAGATAGACACTTTAAATAGCAAAAATGATCAGCAAGACAAGATCTCCAAATAAGTAAAATTTTGCCGAAATTGTTGGTTTACTCTTTAAAGAAGTGATTGCTTTAATTGATATATTTTTTACTGTTTTTTGTGTTTTGGGCAAAAACTGAAGAAAATTAGAGAAACTGTAAACAAAAAAAATCATCAACTATACAAGATCAACAAAAAAAGATTTTTTTCATGAATTCTATTCTAGTCCACAATGTTGGAGAGAGTCTATTGTTAAAGATGCTCATAGACCTAGGTGAGCGACACAGGCACTTTAGAGTCTCTAGTTAATTTTATTTTTGTTTTAAAATGTTATCTATTATTTTTCTTTCTTTTCATACAAACATGGTTTTCCAATGTATAACCATATCAAAATGTGACAATTTTGCACAATGTGTAGCTTGAAAAAAAAGCTCTGTAACCCAATCTTTTCATTATATTTTTGAAAATAACATGATACAAAGTACATTTTGACTTAAGTATTAATAAATTCTATGAATTTTAATTTAGACACTCCATCTAGCCCAAATGAATGTCAATGAGACAGAAATGAAACAACAAGGAAAGCTTTTTGACAAAAACAACAATACTATCTCATCAATCATAGAATAAGATATTAATCCTAAAAATCTTTCTAATGTTTTTAAATTAAGAAAAAAAGTACCTTTTGCAAGCAAAATGTTCCATTTGTCTTGAATTAATTACAGATATAATGGAATATATATATACATTTCAGTGGACCTGTGTTCATGATGTTCAAGATTATGATCCTGATACAGAGGAAGATATGCAGGAGGAGTCTGATTCTAGTCAAAGTAATGTACCAGTAGAGGAAACCAGTATTAATCCAACACCATCTGTACAACAAAACAGTGTACCTTACTTACTGCTGACATCAGAACTAGATTCTCCACTGTCTCCAGGATCTGAGACAAGCAATGATGCAACTTTTGGTACTGTTGAAAGACAGACACTTGCTAACGGATTCCATCCACAACGGATCAGTGTAGACAATGTTTCAAATAGTGAAACAGAATCTTCCTCTGATGAAACAGAGGGTACAGGTTTATCACTCTTCAATAACAGGTCACTTGAAATATTAAGTATGATTGGTGCTTTTGAGTTTGAAAATGGTGAACCACCTCTTACTTTTCATCAGAGACTTTCAGGATTTAGCTTAGGTAATAGAGACAAGACACGAAACAGACTTCTACATTATATAGAGGAACCTAATGTAGGCCGAGGGTTTATAAAGGAGTTATGTTTCAGTAACGATGGCAGACTTGTTTGTTCACCATTTGGATATGGGGTTCGATTGTTATCTTTTGACCCAGATTGTAGTGAACTTTGTGATATAGCACCATTGTCTAGTCCTATCCAACCATTGAGGATGTATGAGGTTGAGAACTGTCTTTCCCATAGTAATGTTGTAGTGACTTGTAAGTTTTCACCACAACATTGTATGTTTGTATCAGGATGTCTTAGTGGTAAAGTGGCCTTTCATCAACCAGTTTTATAACAGTGTTTCCATGCAGTCATCAAGTTTCCTTACCTCATATCAATACCAATAAATAAGTCAACTCTTAAATAGTCTGTCTTTGACAGTTGAAGGATTAATATACCAAACATTTTTTCTACCTGTTACACCAAAGACTTTTAATTTGTTTTTGTTTTAGACATTCAGGGATTTCATGGGGGATTCAAAATACATATTTTTGTGGTGAAGCTTTGCAAATCTTGTTCAGTCACAAAATAAATTATTTGTACAAAAACAATGCTTAAATTATTTTGTTAGATAAGTTTCCAGTATAATGACTGCATGATTTGTATTTATGTATTTTTTATTATGTCAGTTCAAGCATATTCAAAGAAAATTTGAAATCATTTTGTGAATTTTTCTCATTATTATTACATACTATATATGTCTCTGGTTTTATTATAACTGTAAAAAGCGTGAAGGGCCTAATTTTGTCAATCATGTTATTACTAGTGCCAGCATCCCAATAAAAACACATATATAAGCAAAACAATACTGTTACAAAATATTTTCCTTGCTGCCACAAAGGTTCATTTATATATTCCAGAGAAATTTATACAAACAGTCAAACCTGTATTAAGCTGTCACTCATGGGAAGTATTAAAAGTGACCGCTCAAGGAGAGGTGACCTTGTAAATGAGGTTCTGAAAAAAAAAAAAAATTTAATTGGACATTGCCCGTAGCTGGGATTTGGCAAATTGTTTTAGTGTTTTCAATTGATAGAGTAACTATTCTTGGGTAAGTCAATAAAAAAATGGCATATTCCAGCTTTATTAGTTGGAAGAAAACTTTTTAAAATATAATAATATTCGTGGAAAAATAAGTCCGAGATACTGTTTTCAACGCCATTTATTCATGAATTCACCTCATTGTCTGATTTCGGTTTCAAATTGGTTCAGATTGTCATTTTGACTTCAATACTGAACACATATGTTTTTGTCATTATTATATTGGTAGTAAAAAACGTTAAAATAGTGATTTAGTGCGAAAATAAGGTGCCCCTGAATTGGTAATTTTAAGAAAATTTTGCAGCTTTTGGTTATTATCTTGAATATTATTATAGATAGAGATATAAACTGTAAACAGCAATAATGTTCAGCAAAGTAAGATCTACAATTAAGTCAACTTGACCAAAATGGTCAGTTGACCCCTTAAGGAGTTATGCCCTTTATAGTCAATTTTTAACCATTTTTCGTAAATTTTTGTAATCTTTTACAAAAATCTTCTCCTCTGAAACTACTAAGACAAATTTAACCGAACTTGTCCACAATCATCATTAGGGTATCTAGTTTAAAAAATGTTTCCGATGACCCCGCCCGCGAACCAATATGGCTGACATGGCTAAAAAATAGTACATAGGGTAAAATGCAGTTTCTGGCTCATATCTCTGAAACCGAAGCATTTAGAGCAAATCTGACATGGGGTAAAATTGTTTATCAGGTCAAGATCTATCTGCCCTGAAAATTTCAGACCAATCAGGCAACATGTTGTTGGGTTGCTGCCCCTGAATTGGTAATTTTAAGGAAATTTTGCCGTTTTTTTGGTTATTATCTTGAATATTATTATAGATAGAGATAAACTGTAAACAGCAATAAGGTTCAGCAAAGTAAGATCTACAATTAAGTCAACTTGACCAAAATGGTCAGTTGACCCCTTAAGGAGTTATTGCCCTTTATAGTCAATTTTTAACCATTTTTCGTAAATTTTTGTAATCTTTTACAAAAATCTTCTCCTTTGAAACTACTAAGACAAATTTAACCAAACTTGTCCACAATCATCATTAGGGTTTCTTGTTTAAAAAATGTGTCCGATGACCCTGCCTGCGAACCAAGATGGCCGACATGGCTAAAAATAGTACATAGGGCAAAATGCAGTTTTTGGCTCATATCTCTGAAACCAAAGAATTTAGAGAAAATCTGATAGGATAAAAATTGTTCATTAGGTCAAGATCTATCTGCCCTGAAATTTTCAGACCAATCAGGCAACACGTTGTTGGTTTGCTGCCCCTGAATTGGTAATTTTAAGAAAATTTTGCAGCTTTTGGTTATTATCTTGAATATTATTATAGATAGAGATAAACTGTAAACAGCAATAATGTACAGCAAAGTAAGATCTACAAATAAGTCAAACATGACCAAAATGGTCAATTGACCCCTTGAGGAGTTATTGCCATTTAAAGTCAATTTTTTACAATTTTCATTAATTTTGTAAATTTTTGTAAATTTTTACAAAATATTTTCCACTGTAACTACTGGGCCAAGTTCATTATAGATAGAGATAATTGTAAGCAGCAAGAATGTTCAGTAAAGTAAGATCTACAAACACATCACCATCACCAAAACACAATTTTGTCATGAATCCATCTGTGTCCTTTGTTTAAGGTAGTTCAGGGGTATAGACCAAGGTGAGCGACACAGGCTCTTTAGAGCCTCTAGTTATTCAACACTGATGTTACTGACGACTGGGTTAAAAATCCATTGACATGCTACCTGGCATAAAACCTATAACCAGAATTGTTTCTTTTTTGATTTTTGAGTAGTATTTTTTCGCAACGACATCAGTCACATATTGGTTGATACACTTAACTTGTAATTCATTATTAGAGTTAAAATTTAATAACACTTTCATTGTAATATGTTGAGTTTAAGATGAAAAATTGCTAAATAATTGTTTAATATGTACTTTAAACATAAAAATTTTCACATGGGGTTTATGTCCGCTTATTTAATCATCAGAAAATATCCCCCTTGCAAAATGTTGCCATTTATTCATGATATATATGTAAATAAAGGGAACTCAGTTTTGAAAGTTTAAAATGCTAAATGACTTGTTTTATGAAATCCAAAATACCCTTCACAGCAGTAATACATAAATAGTGTTTTTTCATTCTTTTTATCACGAAAAACAACTTCTGAAATATAAATGATTGACTCAAATTGATAATCATGATAATAGAAAAAGTTAAAATTATCAATTTGACTCAGGAAAATTTAAATGAATCGTATATGTTAACAATATAAAAATAAGAAGATGATTGCCAATGAGACAACTCTCTACCAGAGACCAAATGACCGAAGTTAACAACTATTGGTTACCTGACGGCCTTCAACAATGAGCAATACTCATACCACATAGTCCGCTATAAAAGGCCCTGAAATGACAAATGTAAAACAATTCAAAGGAGAAAACTAACCGCCAGATTTATGTACAAAAACAAAAACAATATTTAAGAAATGGTTTAATGAAAAATTATTCAACAATTTTAAGGCATAAGCTGGAAATGGAAGAAAGGCAGTATGCAATATTACAACAATGAAGACTTGAAAGGTTAAATTGTTACAGAATCATTTGAATTATATTGAATATGAATAAACTTCATATAAAGTGTTATAAATGATTATTTGTACATTTGATTCATATGAACATAGAACATATGGTTGTAGTCATTTAGCATTTCAAGTCAAAATGGAATATTTAGTACATGTACTTATATTAAATAATTATGTTTAAATCACTTGTATAATAATGGATAATGTTTATATTATTCATGACAGTAATTGTTTTTCTGTTTAGGGTAAACCATACCTCATATTTACAGTAAATCATCTAGTTTGTAATGTTTGACATCATATTGAATAGATTGTTTATTTTTAGTATTTTTAGCAAACTTGTCTCAAAGAGTGAGTTTTAGCAATTTTCATCACATTGCATCGATTGTCCATTGTTTATCATCTCTTGTTGTTGTCATCCATTTTTGAACAAACAAGAAAGTATTCTCCTTTTAAGCAAATGATAAGTGAAAAAAAAAGAATTCTGTAGTAGAGAATTGATAAGAAGTAGTGGATTCGTAAACGATAATCAACGAGCGACTTTAGTCGCAAGTTGATTATCGTTTCCGAATCCACTACTTCTTATCAATTCTCTAGCTTAACCCATTTCTAGTAAAACGACTGTCTGTTTTACGTTTTGACAATGAATCAACAATATTTCATAAAAAAAGTTTGGTATTTTGTCTTTTTTATTCTATAATAGCTGGAAATGAATATATCCACACGGTTCGCATCTATATTTAGACATTTGACAAGTTAACATAAGTTTAATATAACTTAAATGGGGTGTTAGCTCCCCTTTTTAATACCAGATTTTATTTTTGTATATACATATTTCATTTAATCTTTAATCATTACAAATTATTTAAATTAAATAGATTTTGGTATATTTAATTTATTCAAAAAGACATATATTGATATACAGAATTTATTCATCTTGTTTTGAAAAGTTAAAAAATTTTAATTACCAAAATTTAGAATCTTCAAAATTTATATATATAATATTTAGCAACGTGATTTGGTATAATGAAATCGTAACACCATTATGTCGTTCTTAGTCAATTAAATATTATTAGCGTATATGCCATAAATCTGCCATTTCATAATTCATATTGCTGTTTAAAGTATTAAAATTATGCGCTTACGATTTAAATTGAACAATTATATTTAAATTTTGTTTAAACTGTTTCCGTTTCATTTAAGTTAAGATTATTTTAGCGTTATTACATTTGGCATATATCGTTCACCGGTCAGTAAAATAGTTTTATCTGTGGTACGCATTCTGAATCCACATCAGAATTGCTCTTGCTACGGATGTACAATGAATAATTATGTTGATTTCATAAACTTACCATCAAGCTGTTCATAGCCGTGATAGTCTAGTCGTTGATAACGAATGTCATAACGGTGATATTAACAGTGCAAAGTTCGAACCTTGTACCCGGAATGAATTTTTTTCATTGTAATTTTTTTTTCTGGACCAAAATATTGTTTTAATCCTAGAACATGTAGAAGTATCATATATTTCATTTTCATATAATGGCGATGATTTTGTTTCTGTTTTTATTGTCAAAGAAGTAGTTTTAACCCATTTCTTAAAAAAAAATAACACCCAAAATAAAACAAATTGAATAAACATGAACAAACCAAGATATATATATATCATTAGATTACAAAAGCGAATTATCAATGAGACAGAAATACAGTTAAATGACATGTATTGACAAGTAAGCGCTTTAAGAGTACTATTTATATAATGATAGATGTCAGCCATCGTGGTCTAGTGGTATCATGCATAGACTGAAGACTGTATTGATTACGAAGAAAATACGCGCGGGTTCGAAACCTACACATGCCACTCGTTTTTGAGAGGATAAAAGATCGTAAGTTAAAAGTTTAAAGTTATAATATAAGTTCTCTTAAGTTAATACTATGGTCAGTGGATTCTTGAAAAATAATCTACAGTCAGAACAATAGACTGACGTCAGAGAAATGGGTTAAATTTTCTTAATGCCAAGATGAAAATCAACCATGGTGATGATCAGTACTGTAAACAGAACATAAGCAACAAGGGTAGTATAAGCTAAATGGTTTTTTAATTGACTTTATTGGTATTAAGCTATTTTTATGCCCCCGCCGTAGAGGAGGGGGCATTAAGTTTTACCCTTGTCCGTCAGTACGTACGTATGTCCCAAAATTGGTTTCTGTTCTCTAACTTTAGTTTGCCTCAACTAAATGTTATGAAACTTATACACAATGCTTATTACCTCAAAACAGAGATCAAGTTTGAACTTTGGTGGCGTCACTTTTACCATTCTAGAGTTATGCCCCTTTACAAATGGAAAAAATGCTGAATTTTTCGTTTCCACTCTCTAACTTAAGTCTGTCTTAACTAAATGTTATGAAACTTATAAACAATGCTTATTACCACAAAACTCAGATCAAGTACAAATTTGGGTAGTATCACTTTTACAATTCTTGATTTATGTCCCTTTATAACGTGATATGCAAGCGGGGGCATCATCTGTGTCCCATGGACATATTCTCCATTTATTTTTTTTAGTAAATTTTTCTGTAATAAAATCAAATGTAGTAACAAACTACAAAATTTCTTTCCATTGGCCTACTTCAACATAATGTTGCTCTTGATCTTGGAAGAGGATGTCATGAAAAAATCCAGATCTCACCTTAATTGCCAGCATAAGTAGTTGATATTTGGTATATATATAATTCTAAACTGAATAGTTAAGTATCATTTATGTTTTGTTCTGGTTGATACATCTTTTACCTCATAACGAGCATTGGACTAAATTAATTTTATGAAAAAGATTATTTTCTAAAAGTATTAAATGGGACTGCTATTAGTATATAACTGTATACTGAGTTATTACCCATACACATGTATGAGCTTTGTTCCGGTTGACCTACTGTTGATCTAAAGACAATTTTCTGACTTGTTACGAAAATAATAATCATCTGTGCTGTTTTCAAACATCTTAAGAGGATATTGTGCTGGTATTTTGTATATAATTGTAGAATGTTTTTTTGTAACATGTTGTAATGTATAATTACATGTACAGATCCCACATCAATTCTTACTGCTGGTTACTTACATTTGATTTATTTACGATACTGGGTAAATTTCCTGAAATGACAGATGCCTGCTTTCTTGTTAATCTTCATAAATAATATGGAGCTAACTTTGATGTAACTTATCCTGAAATGAGAGTTTCCAGAGCCTTCATAAGCTTTATTATTGGTTTAAACATGCTTATGATTGAATTGTAGGTTGGTTGGGTTTATTTTTTTACTGTTATATCAAAGATCATGGAATTTAAAGGCTCCAATATATTTGCAAATAAAAATCTGAATTCATGTCACATTTTTGTTCAGCAGTATAATTGGGAAATGACCTCCAGGCAAGCTCCATTTTCCAAATTCTTTCCTAACTTCAACAGAAGTATAGGAGCTGTGGAAGTGGAGAAAAGGGGGCAGTTTTAGTACTTGTATAGGTTGAATAGGTGAAAGACAACACAGGTTAGACTGAGTGACCTTTGGCAACACTTTTTCTTGAAT